AGATGGGGCTCCGGCAGGGTGAGTGGAGCCAGGGCCAAGTTGGGGGCCCCATGAGCAGCCCCCTAACCTCCCCGAGACAGCACATTTACCCGGGGTCTCTACACACAAGGAACTGTGGTAGTTAGGCCCTTGTTGCCGCTGAGAACAGTCAGAGCCCGTGGAAGCTGCTGGCCCTGGCCCTTAGGGCCTGGGTTTCCCACTGTCCCCTTGCCAGGCTTCCCCAAGAGGGCTGTGCTACTGAAGGCAAACATGAGGTAGCTGGTGGCCCTGCCAGGTGTTCCTAGAAGAGGCCCTGGGGGAGGGGCAGTGGCCAGACATCAGCTGACCTAGAGGTCACTGGAAGGCTGAGACTGAGCCCTGGACAAACCACTGGGCTGGGAAGCCCAAACGGTGGGACCAACTTATCCTGTTAAACCCCAGCTAAGCCAGGCAGTGGTGGTGCACAGCTTTAAATCCCAGCGCTTGGAAAGCAGAGGCAGGTGGATCTCTATGAGATCTCTATGAGTTTGGGGCCAGCCTGGTATACAGAGTGAGTTCAGGATAACCAGGGCTACACAAAGAAACCCTGTCTTGAAAAACGCCCCCCCCCCAAAAAAAAAAAGAAAAGAAAAAAAGAAACCCCAGCTCAGGCAACATGCTAGAAATACAGGAGGGTCTGTAAGAAACAGGCAGCAACTGCTTAACCCGATAGAGCCATCTGCTCAGTATGGGGGTGAGTGGGGGGTTCCCCAGGATCTGCGAGCTCCCTTAGGGTATTCTCACCTTGGCTGAACCTACTTGGAGAGAGGGGCCTCTCTATCTTGAGCACCAGATCCTGTAAGGCTGCTCCAACAAGCCTCTACCTTCAACACCTGCATGGGCAGCCTTCAGAGCCCCACGTCTCCCCCGCACCATCTGCACCCAGAAGACTTGCGGTTGAGACTAGCTGCCCAGCACGAGAGGGTTAAAGGAGACCGAGTGTGGGGCAGGGCCAGCTTAAGGCTGCCAGCTACTGGCAGTGAGGAAATCCAGAGGGCAGCAGCCTGCACTTAGGCAGCCCTCACTCACTGCCTGCCTGCAGCCAGTTCTGTGCGAGGCGCAATGGCCCCGAGGACAGGTGAGGACCCCGTATCCCGGCCACTTGCTCTGAGGGTAGCTGGCCCTCAACCCTGAGCCCACTGGGAAAAGCTGTAGTGAGCTCAGCTCAGGGTGGGCTGGTGGGAATTCTGGATGGGGTCTTGGATTCTGCTAATCATGACCCCAAGGGGTCTGTTACGCTCTCCCTTGGTGGTGGCACTGGGGGGAGGGCCGAAGGAAGGCAGGGCAGGCAGGAACAAGTACCGAACCCCTGGGCATATCGAGGTGCAGAAACAAGCTCCCCACAGCCCTACCTCACAGCTTGCCGCGACGGTGTGCTAGCCACAGCCTGTGACCCTTCTAGCTTCTGCTCCTCTCAGGGGCCCAGCCCCGGGTGAGTACGAAGCCAGTCTTATCCTTGCCTGCCTTTGGCATGCTACCACAATGCCAGGGGCTGCTCCATGAAGTCTCACTCCAGAACCGTTGTACAGTTACTCCGGATGCAGGCTGTGTGGTGCGGAACGGTGCTGCCCAGCCTGAGCTGGTGCTCTCGGCATAGACTTGAGGTGCTGGTGGAGCCGTGAGAGTGGAGACAGGGTTTTCTAGACCCCATTCTTCTGCCAGCAGGTGGTACAGGCTGCATATACTGGGGAGCAAGTAGGGTGTGCCTCTTCCAGCTAGGGGCCCAGCAGGCAGGGAGCGCCCAGCTTGCCGTTCAGTCACTGGGGACCACAAATGAATATGCTGCCCGGGTCTGTTCCAGAATATTCTGGAACAGCCAGGTCTTGGCCAACAGCTCGGCTCTGCTTTTCAGCCTGTGTATACCCCAGAGGGCACAGACTGCCACATGGCCTAGTGGCCAGGGCCAGGGCCAGGGTTGCCTGTGGAGCCAGGTTGAAATGGAAGCCTCTAAGCCCTGGGTGTGATGAGATGGGGACCACCACTCGCTGGTCCCGTGAACTGGAAAAGTGAAGTTACTCCCAAGGATAGGATCTGGCTGCTCATATCAAAGAGGGTTGATCACAGGTCTCAGACCTCAAACAACACCCTTCTCTTACAGTGGCTGAGGCCTAGGGAAGCCCAGGGGTTGGCTCACATCGTGGGTCACAGTCCTCTGGGCACCTCCTTGCCAAGCCCTTCTCCCCACAGGAGGCCCAGCCCTGGTGGTACTTCTGGCTTTCTGGGTGGCACTGGGCTCCTGTGACCTGCAAGGGGCAGATCCTGGAGCATCCACAGATGCCGAGGGCCCCCCGTGCCCTGTCACCTGTACCTGCAGCTATGACGACCACACAGAGGAGCTCAGCGTCTTCTGCAGTTCGAGGAACCTCACACGGCTGCCTGATGGCATCCCAGCAAGCACCAGGGCCCTGTGGCTCGACGGCAACAACCTTTCCTCCATCCCCTCGGCGGCTTTCCAAAACCTGTCCAGCTTGGACTTCCTCAACCTGCAGGGCAGCTGGCTGAGCAGTCTGGAGCCCCAGGCGCTGCTGGGCCTGCAGAACCTCTACCACTTGCACCTGGAGCGGAACCTGCTCCGGGGCCTCGCTGCTGGCTTGTTCACGCACACGCCCAGCCTGGCTTCACTCAGCCTGAGCAACAACCTCCTGGGCCGGCTGGAAGAGGGGCTGTTCCGGGGCCTCAGTCACCTCTGGGACCTCAACCTGGGCTGGAACAGCCTAGTGGTACTGCCCGATACGGTGTTCCAGGGCCTGGGTAACCTCCGGGAGCTGGTGCTGGCTGGCAACAAACTGGCTTACCTGCAGCCTTCGCTCTTCTGTGGCTTGGGTGAGCTGCAAGAGCTGGACCTGAGCAGGAACGCGCTGCGCAGCGTCAAAGCCAACGTCTTCATACACCTGCCCAGGCTGCAGAAGTTGTACCTGGACCGCAACTTTGTCACAGCTGTGGCCCCCGGTGCCTTCCTGGGCATGAAGGCACTGCGCTGGCTGGACCTGTCCCATAACCGCGTGGCAGGCCTCCTGGAGGACACCTTCCCAGGCCTGCTGGGTCTGCATGTTCTGCGCCTGGCACACAACGCCATCACTATCTTGCGGCCCCGTACTTTCAAAGACTTACACTTCTTGGAGGAACTGCAGCTTGGTCACAATCGCATCCGGCAGTTAGGTGAGAAGACATTTGAGGGCCTTGGGCAGCTGGAGGTGCTCACGCTCAATGACAATCAGATCCACGAGGTCAAGGTGGGTGCCTTCTTTGGTCTCTTCAATGTGGCCGTTATGAATCTCTCCGGCAATTGTCTGAAGAACCTCCCAGAGCGAGTGTTCCAGGGCCTGGGCAAGCTGCACAGCCTGCACCTGGAGCACAGCTGCCTGGGCCGCATCCGCCTGCACACTTTCGCTGGCCTCTCGGGGCTGCGCAGGCTCTTCCTCAAGGGCAACAGCATCTCCAGCATCGAGGAGCATAGCCTGGCAGGTCTCTCTGAGCTCCTTGAGCTTGATCTTACCGACAACCAGCTCACACATCTGCCCCGCCAGCTTTTCCAGGGACTTGGTCAGCTGGAGTACCTGCTTCTCTCGTATAACCGGCTGTCGGCGCTGTCTGAGGATGTACTGAGCCCCTTGCAGCGGGCCTTCTGGCTGGACATCTCCCACAACCGCCTGGAGGGGCTGTCGGAAGGCCTTTTCTCACGACTGGGGCGGCTGCGCTACCTCAGCCTCAGGAACAACTCTTTGCACACCTTCTCGCCACAGCCTGGCCTAGAGCGTCTGTGGCTTGATGCCAACCCCTGGGACTGCCACTGTCCCCTCAAGGCACTGCGTGACTTTGCCCTGCAGAACCCCGGCGTTGTCCCCCGCTTTGTTCAGACTGTCTGTGAGGGGGATGACTGCCAACCGGTGCACACCTACAACAACATCACCTGTGCTGGCCCTGCCGACGTCTCAGGCCTCGACCTTCGAGACATCAGCGAAACACATTTTGCGCACTGCTGACTCTGGCTACCACTGGCCTGGTTTGGCCTAATGCCGCCTTGTGGTCAGGACAGTTCTCACTGTTACCAGAATCGCCAGCCCTCGAAGCCAGTGTGGGGAGGGGCGGAGAATACCTACTCAACTCTAGGGGACAGGTCCTAGGCTGCTCACTTCCTAGAAGCAGGGCAGTACTGGCAGCCATGTGGCCTAAACTCAGAAAGGTGGGCACAGGCCAGGTGCCCAAGGACCCAACCAGGAGGCGAAGCACTCAGCAGCACTCCCTGCTGGCAACAATTAAAAGCAAGCACTAAGCATGGCTTGTTGAGTGTGCCCTTGTCCCCACCTCTTCTACAGCTCTACCTGAGCCTACTTGTGACTTGCTGGTGTTGGGAACATATGTCCCACTTCACCTTGCCCTCTTGGGTTTCCTGGGACCCTCTCCTCCAACACAAGGAACTACAGGCACCTATATCTTCCCAAAACATGGCATTGCAGCCTTCCCTCAGGGCACGACACTGGGACCAGGTGGGCTTCTCACAGCTGTCCAGATCCCAGGTGGTCAGAGCCCAGCTGTGGAGGTCACCACATCGCTCACTGCTGGGCATGAACAGTGGTGCTGGGGCGGAGGCAGGTGGGAGGTGAGGACAGCACCTTCCCATCTGACTGCAGGAACCATCCTCTGAAATGCTTCCCAGGCCCCCACTATCCCCTGGAGACCTCAGCTTTGCCCCAGGAAGACATAACAGGTTACCATGTGCTTTCCAGAACTTTCCTTCCTGACCTTTCCAGGAAGGAGGAAAGGGCCTCCGTGCCTCAGCTCACTCCTCAACTCTCATCCTATGGCTTCCAGCTGCCCCAGGCCCACGGGGTCTCTGAAAACACAACGTGCAGACACCTGTCCCCAAGACAAGACAGACATCCTCACCATCTCTTCAGGCCCCGTTATATCTTTACTAATACTGCCTGTTCCAGACCTAGAATGCAGCAAAAGCCATCTCACTGAGGACAAAAGGGTCTGGATGCTGGGTTCTCCACAAGGTAGGGAGATAGTTTAATGGCAGACTCCCGTAAGTTACCAAGTAAACCACACAGTGCATCACGGAAGGCTCCACAGCACAGTCCTTGTGGGCACTCAGGGTCCCTCAGGAGGAGAATGTACTGGCCAGCTCGTGTATAGTGTGCTGTCTGAGCAGCCTGTGGATCTGGTGGATCTGGGGCGGAGGGAACTAGGGCTGGACAAAGCCCATAGGGTGGAGGTTAAGGCTGCGACCATCTCAAGAAACTAGGACCCAAATCGTCCCCTCAGCTACAAACTAGTCTGGCAAGGCCGCTGATGGTAAAGAAAACTCTGCCCCGAACACTGGGGCCTGCAGGGAGATGTCTGCACGGAGGTCATCGCACAGACCAGCCATTGCTCAGGCCAGTCCTGAGGACACCAGCTCCCAGAGCTCCTGTAGGCTGTGGACAGAGAGGCTGGGAGGCTGTCAGGAGTGCAGAGCAGGCATCCTGTGCAGAACTTTCTGGGCGATGGAAGTGAGTGCGGCATAGGCAGTGCTCTTGGGGAACTCCTGGATGAAGTCACGGCCCTCCTCCAGGCTCCTGGTGAGCTGGGGGTCCAGGGGAACCGAGCCTACAACAGCAAAGGCCAGGGAAGGGCTGAAAGAGGGCTCAGTGGTGGAAGTGCTGTTGCTGAGTCTGACAACCCGCGTTCAGTCTCTGGGACCTACTGGCCCCCCCACCCCAAACTGTCACCTGGCTTCCCCATGTTCCCTGTGGCAAGTGCCACAACCCCCTCCCCAAGAAACAAACAAAAATAAGAGGAGGCCTAGCAAGGCTCAGCAGGTGAGAAGTGTCAACCACCACACACTCACCAGAAACTCAGGCTGCTGACCTCCCTGACAATAACTGGGGCAAGTGGCAGAGCCTGGTACCCCTGCCATATGCACTCCCACAAGACTGCTGGGCGGCGGGCAGCCCACATAAACCAAACTCCACACTCACTGAAGTCAGGCCCACTCAGAAGCCTGGTAGGTGCAATCTGGGACCCTTGCTGGCTTGCTCTTGACACTTACCTAAAAAGGGGACTCCAGCCAGCTGGGCCAGCTCCTCCCCTCCACCCCTGGAGAAGACGTTGGTGCAGTCCTAGGAAACAAAGGCTGTGAGGGTCCAGTCTGCAGACCCACGGCCAAGCTGAGACCTCCAGCTGCTCCAGGGAGAATACCCAGGTAGGAACAGTGTCTTCATTGGCCAGGAAGTCACTCATCTGAACTGATGGGCAGGGGACTTTCTTACTGGAAGCCTCTGACTGCTTGCCCTGTCTTTCACTCCCTCAGACCTTGAATTAAGCCCACCCATCTTCAGAGACTCACAGCGCAGTGTGGGCAGACGAAGCCGCTCATGTTCTCCACGACCCCTATGACCTGCAGCCCAGTCTTCCTACAGAAAGTCAGCTCCCGCCTCACATCCCCAACAGACACTGCCTGTAGATCAGAGTAAAGAGGCCAGTCAGCCACATGTCAGCCAAGAACCATGCAATCAGCAGGGAACATGGCCCACCACAGCCCAGCCCAACAGGACACAGGCACACAGACACACGCCCCAGGTGACGTTGGAGATGCCATAGTACCTGTGGTGTGGTGACCACAAGAGCCCCCAGGGGCCTGTAGGGGCGCAGGGCTTCCACGGTGGCCATGTGCTCATCAGAAGTCCCTGGTGGCGTGTCCACAACCAGATAGTCCAGCTCTCCCCAGGCCACGTCAGACACGAACTGCTTTATCAGCGCTGCCGAGACCCCAGAGATCAGAAGTAACCTGAGGGGGGGTTAGGCTGGGGAGGCCCATCTTGTCCAGCCCCCAGCCCCAGATCTACCAGCAGGAACACCTGCCACACAAGGCAGCAAGGGTCCTTGATCTGCGAGGTGACTGGGGAGGCAGAGCTCGGGGGGCCACACAAGCACTCCATGCTTCCCAGCAGCCGTGTTACGGCCAGCACTGAACTGCCTCCACACACTCCACCCGACCCGGCTCTACCCCTTATGGCCCCGGGTGACGATGGAACCTTGAGTCTCCCTGAAGGGCCTCTGGTCCTCTAATGGCCTGACATGAAGCTCCTTGCCGGCACGTCCAGGAGCAGCAAGCCATTCCCTCTCAGTGTGTTCTTCTTCCAGGCAGTTTCCCCACTACAGCCAGGATGGTCTAACGTTACCTCCTTGGAGTTCAGCGCATGGCCCACTACACACTGTTGCGCCTCAGACCCATGTGCTGAGAGAGGGCGAGGCTCTCAGGAGACCTCCCTTCCTAACTAAGAGATGGACAACACAGGCCAAACACAGCTTCTCCCCTGCTGCGCACCACGCCCCCATGTCTGCGCTCTGTGCGCTAGAACCCAGTTCGCGAGCTTCGGGAAAGGGGGCTGGAGGTTGAGAATACAGATGAAGAGACAGACAGACATGCAGACCTTTTAACACTGATACCAAAAGCCCCACTTTAATTAACACCATGTAGGCTTAAATACACGGCAGTCAATGGCCAACAGGTGAAAATCCCATCCTCTGATCCTCTAAGCTAGGCACAGCTTAAAGGCCAGGACTCAATTAGTCCCAACATCCAGCTGAAGGCTAGGACTTAATTGGTCCCAACACTCCCCTGTGTGGGTCCCATGTCGCTCTATCCATTCAGAGGCTGATATGGCTGTTACAGAAGCTGGAAGAGGCTTCTCAGGGACAGAGGGGTGTGTATATCCAGCTGGGTGGGCATGCATGAGCCATGGAAGCGTTCCATTGGCACAGAGTCTCCAATACCAAGAGGCCAGGGCTAGATCCAAATACCTAGATACCATGATAGGAGGGAAAGTAGCCACAATAAAGCGGTACTGAAGGGTCAGCTGGAGGACCTCCCGCCCACTGAGTTCTTACCATGTTTCTTGGGACCTCTCCACACCACGGCCTCGTTAGGGTTCTCCAGCAGGAAGCCCACAGACATGAGGGAGATGCTCTGCTCCTGATCCACAAAGACAGGCACCCAGCCTTGGTCACACTGGTGCACTGCCTTGCCTTGTGCACGGAGCATGCGTGGGATGCTGGGCCCGCACAGGTCTACATCTAGGATCCCCACCTAAAAGAGAGTGGAGGCTGAGGGTGGAGAGAAGCCCTCCAGGATTGCTGGGAGCTGGAAACTAAGTGCAGCAGGTGTCAGCCCGGGTCGGGGCCTCACCTTCTTGCCCTGGTGGCGCAGCGCCAGGGCCAACTCCGTGGAGATGGTACTTTTCCCAACGCCCCCCTTTCCAGAGAGGACAAGGATGATATTTCGCACTCCAGCCAGATTCCCGGGCTCTGGTGAGAAAAAGGAGTTGGGGTGTCCGGGAGAGCGACAAAGACAAAGGTACCCTGGTAGAAGGTCTTCTAGAAGTCCCAGACCTGCATGTCAGGGTCTCACTTCTGCCTGAGGTGGATTAACTGAAGGTGGATTACACGTGACGCCGTGTACGAACGCTCACCTGTGATAATCCTTAAATGCCAGCAGAGACAGAGGAAACATAGAGGCTAGTTTATCACAGCTACGCGGCACCTGTGCCCGAATGCACAGACTGCAGCGGGCTCCCAGCTCTCTGGGAGGAGCAAGGCTGAGGACCTAGAGCAGCCTTAACCGCCTCCATGTGCATCCGCGTCACCCGGCTGGCTCGGTAAACAAGGGGACATGCCATGCATTGGCGTCGCAGGCCACTCTGTGTGCAGGCCACCGGTGAGTTGCACTCGGTCCGCCTTCAGACTTCCCCGACCCCTCACGCCTGGCCGACCCGCATGCTCACCAGCTGCCGCCTCCATCCCGCCGCCAGCTGCTCTTCGCGACTCCCTTCCGCTTTCTCTCCAAACCTCTGAGCCTTTGAACCAATGGCAACAAGAGTCCGCCCCTGGCTCATTTTGAGAGGCCTAGTCTCTCAATCATCAGCCAATCAGATCACCTGAAGAGAACCCGATCCTGGCAACTGATGATGACGCCACGGACACAGAAATACTTCCGCATGCTTGTCCAATAGTGATGCGAGAATCTTTTTGACAGCTCTAGCGAGGACCAGTAGGAAGTTTGGTTCAGGATTGACAGGTCGAGCAGGCCTCTCGACAGCAGTCCTGTCTCGCGAGACCCGCCCCCGCGCGAAGTCGCAGGAGCGCCCGCCTTCGGCTGCCGGGCCAATGCAGCGCGGGGGCGGGGATTGTTTGCGTCGCGGCCGGAACGGAAAGTGGGTCATCGCCGGCGGAGCGCTTGGCCGCAGGTGAGCCGCGCCGGCCCAGCCCGGCCAGGCCCGGCGGGCGGCGCGCTGACCTTGCAGGCGGTCAAACCGGCCACCCTTTGTTCCGCGGCGGTGGTGCTCGGGTTTCTGGGCGGGGACCTCTGAGCCAGGTGCTAGCCGCTTCGTCGTAGCGAGATCCGCGAGCCTCTGGCCCCGCGGAGGCCGAGCGCGGCTGCGTCCCGGGACATCTGAGGTTCATTCATTGGGTTCCTACCGTGTACTCCTGTCCGGCCCTCAGCCAGCCCAATTGCTGCGGAGTGCTGGGCGCGGCCACGCTCGGCCCCTTTGTGGGTGACTGGGGCGAGGTAGGGTAGTGCAGTGGATCTGCGGGGGACGGGAGTCGACTATTAGACCCAGACAGTCCACTCGGGTGAGGAGATCTATCCCTCCCAGAGCCTTGCATTTTGTCCCAGCAACGACGTAAAGGCCTGAGTGGAGTTTAAGGTTGTTTCCGAGACTGAGCTGGTTTGTAGTGTGTGGAGCGGGATGGGTCAGAGAGAGTTGTGTGGTGCAGGAAGTGGTGGGTTTCCTGCGACAAGTTGGAACCACTTCAGGTGTGCTGGAAGAAGGGGGTGTCAGGAGTGGATGACAGCTGTGTTTTTGGCACGAGGAACTGGATGCTGGGGATGCCATTTGCCAAAGTGGACAGCGGAGGAGGAGCAAGTTAAGTGTCATATACCCGAGGGGCAGCAGCTCCTGAATGGAACGCAGAGATGGGCTGGGGCACCTCCAGAGTTATGGGTGTCTGGGTTGCGTTTCACACCATCGCCCTGTGCTTGATTGAGGTTCTTAGATACTGGAGCCAGGTATGAGCTTGTGGGAGTTTCTGGAGCCCAGGCTGAGTGTTCAGGGCCAAGTAGTCCCCATCCTGTGGTGGGTCTGTGGCCTAGCCTGCCAGGTGGCCCAGAAATACCAGGGGGCAGAGTTTGGGTATTGGTCTTGTTTCGGTATTCTGACACATTGTGTCTTTAAGACTTACAATTAAGTTTTTCTCCAGGTCCTTTCCACAATGGCCCGGCGTCCACGGAGTAGCAGAGCATGGCACTTTGTTCTGAGTGCAGCCCGCCGAGACACAGATGCCCGAGCCGTGGCTTTGGCAGGCACCACTAACCGGGGCTATGACTCTGATGGGCAGGTAGGTCTCACTGACAAGGTGGGGTGGACCAGTGTGTGGATGGAGGTTGGACTGTCTCCTGGTATCTCATGCTCGGAAGGGGGCTCTTTGGCCTGGTAAAGACTGTGTAGCTTGAGAGTGACAGAGACTCAGGACGGACAGGGATCCCTGCCCAGGGAATGTGAGTCCCGGACAGTGCTGGTCAGTGCACAGCAGATGCCTAGTCATCAGCCCTACCAGTTTCCGGAATAACTGTTGCCAACTTGGTACCCACCTTCTGGATATTTTTGTTTTGTTTACTATTGTGTGGCACAGTTAATGGGTGGATGTCAGGAGACAATTTTTGTTTTCCTTTGTGGGCTTGTCCTCTCCTTCCACCTTTATTTGGGACCTGGGGATCAAGCTCAGGTTGTTCTTTATTTATTGTAGCAAGCACACACATGCTGGACCATCTTGATCACCCTGTATGTTTCTTCTGCTACACAAATATTCACTTTACATTCATGTGTATAAAAGGATCTGTGGTCTTTATTTTTTTCTTTTTTTGAGACTGGGTTTCTGTGTAGCCTTGGCTATTCTGGAACTACACCAAGCTAGATTTGAACTCAGAGATTCACCTGCCTCTGCTTCCCAAGCATTGGGATGAAAGGCATGTGCTACCACCAGCTGCTTTTTTTTAGAAATAGTGTCACACTGTAACACAGGCTGGCCTTGGACTTGAGGCAGTTTATTTACTGTGTGGGCACACGTGCCCCATGATGAACATGTCAAGTCAGGATGCTTCTACCATATGATACCCATGGGATTAAATTCAGGCCATCGACAAATGCTTCTGTTTTTGTTCTTAAATCTTTAGTTCTTGAGTTCAGTTTTCAAAGACATCCTTTGTTGCTGACTCCAGGCACAGGGAGGCCCAGGAATGCAGGGCCCAGGGTAGATACCAGCTTGATACACCTGACCAGGCCCTTGGGGTGGCTCATCAGTCTTGCTTTCCTGGACTGGTATTCTGGCCCTGCCCTGTGTCGCCTCTACTCTGATGTCATAGCTTCCTACAACACAGTCCCTTCTAGAAGCTCATGGGATCGCCTCACATGGGTGTGAGGAAAACTTGGAAGCCATAGGTTTACTGACTTGGTCAGTGGGGTCTTCTGAACTTGAGAGGTCAGTCCAAATTTTCAGCCACGCCCAATGACAGCCTGTATGCCTGCCTGCTACTGCCTCAGAGTCATCACTGAGGGATGGCCGCAGTGACACGTGCGTGCCTGTCATGTAGTCAGGTGTCAGTTAGTTCCCGGTGTCCCTGGGCCCTTTGCTGGGTTGAGCCGCATCCTCCCTCCTTCCTGTCCTAAGGTAGATTGACTGTATACCCTGACTCCTGATTCACTGGGTTTGCCTTGGCTTTAGAGGAGCCAATCTTTGCCAGTGGGTGCAAGGTCTGCCCTATAAGCCTTTCCTTCAGACAGGATAGCTGTTCCGGTTGGCTGCTGAAGGGTCTAGGTTCACCTCGGTTACTACATCCTGTGTCTGGCTTCCTGTGGAGTTACTACTCCCCTATTCCAGCATGCAGGCCTGGAGTTGAAGGTTAGTCTCCAGTCTCCCTTAGTTGTCTGGTTGGTGCTGGCTACTTCCTCACGGTACTGAACAACCACCATAATGGTTCTTGGGATCGGGTGTGTGATTTGAGGCCTTGCCCGAGGAGCTGGCAGTATTGCAAAAGAAGCAGAGAACAGGAGAGTGGAGAGCGTTGAGTATTGTGGAAAGAATATGGGGGTGAAAGATCTGGTCCAAGCTTCTGTTGGTGGCTGAATGCTTCCATTTAGGGATCGCAGGGATCACCTGGTGCCCATCACAGGGCTGGATATGTGGCTGGCAATAGATGTGACTCAAGAGTGGACGACAGAACTGATATGGTCGCGGTCTGCTCAGGTTATAGAGGGGTCATGAACTGTGTAGGGCATGGCAGGCCAAGGAGGCAGAAGCCAAAGCTCCAGGGAGACTGCCGAGCAGCTGAATGGGAATAGTGTCAGTAGCTGGAACCTGGCCAGCCCTGCTTTGTCTACACCTGTCAGCCTCCGAGGACTGAGCTCCAGCCACATGGACTGCATCTCTGGAGGAGTTTGCAGCAGCCACATTAGCCCGTTAGGATTCACTGCGATGCTCCTTTTGCTTCCGGTGGCCTTGCATGGGATGGGAACACACATCCTAAGGCTTAGGTCTTACTTAGGCTGTGAGGAATCAGATGCTAGACCTTGCTGACAGTACCAGCCCTGTGGTCTAGGAGACCTTGAGCTACCTAGAAACGACAGGAGGTGGGTGCTGGAGGGCCCCATCTCGTGTGGTCTGTGCGGAAATGGTGCTGACGGCTGTATATTGAGTCTTAGAGTCCATTAAGAAGTGAAGTGAGACGCTGTCCCCCAGGAACACCTCCCCATTCCACTGTACTCTCATGCATACAAGTCAAATTTTAGCACTGAGGCTGCTTATGCTGGACACTGGAGAACCCCAGGAGGTGTCTGGATTCTTCTGGAGGATGTGAGAAAGGGTCAGGTAGCCTGGCAATGGGAAAGCTGCCATAAATAGAATAATCTGTCACTTTCCTCCCAGCACAGTGACTCTGACTCCGACCCTGAGTACTCTTCCCTGCCACCATCCATCCCCAGTGCTGTGCCTGTGACAGGGGAGTCCTTCTGTGACTGTGAGGGTCAGAACGAGGCTACCTTCTGCAACAGCCTACACACAGCACACCGCGGCAAGGACTGCCGGTGTGGTGAGGAGGATGAGGGTGAGTGCCTGTCACTGGTGCCTGGGGTGGGCGGATGGGGCGGGCAGATTCTCTAGCACCAGAGTAAGGCTGCTTTGCCCCAGCCCTGCCTAGTTTTGGGCCACTGTCTTACAGATTTTGATTGGGTCTGGGATGACCTGAACAAGTCCTCAGCCACCTTGCTGAGCTGTGATAACCGCAAGGTCAGCTTTCATATGGAGTACAGCTGTGGCACTGCGGCCATCCGGGGCACCAAAGAGCTAGGGGATGGCCAGCATTTCTGGGAAATCAAGATGACCTCTCCTGTGTATGGCACTGACATGGTAAATGGCCAGCCAAGAGGGTAGCTGCCATGGGCCCTGGCCCCTAGGCACTTAACTAGCTCAGCCCCACTGTTTCAGATGGTGGGCATTGGGACCTCAGATGTAGACCTGGACAAGTACCATCACACATTCTGCAGCCTGCTTGGCAGGGACGAAGACAGCTGGGGCCTCTCCTACACTGGTAGGTATTGCCTGGGTTGTGGGCGGGGCCGGCAGTGTCACAGGCCTCCCAGGCTTACCCATCTGCTCTCCCAGGGCTCCTCCATCACAAAGGCGACAAGATGACTTTCTCATCTCGCTTCGGCCAGGGCTCTATCATCGGCGTACACTTGGACACCTGGCATGGGACGCTGACCTTCTTCAAGAACAGGAAGTGCATAGGTGAGGGTGCCTTCCTGACCAGGTCTCAGTCAGGTGCTGGAGACCAAAGATGGAGCATAGGGTACAGTCAGGCAGCTGATCTGAGGCTCTCCAGGGTGGACAGGTGAAGCCAAGCTGAGTCTGTCTTCTGTGTTCAGAGTGGCATGAGCTGTTCACCTTGGTGTATTATGGGAGGAGCTTCTTGGCTCCTGACCTACATACACTCAGGTTGAGTCTTCCTTCCAGGAGTGGCTGCCACCCGGCTGCAAAACAGAAGGTTCTACCCGATGGTGTGCTCCACAGCTGCCAAGAGCAGCATGAAAGTCATCCGCTCCTGTGCCAGCTCCACCTCCCTGCAATACCTGTGCTGCTATCGCCTGCGCCAGCTGCGGCCAAACTCAGGAGATACCCTCGAGGGCCTGCCCTTGCCACCTGGCCTCAAGCAAGTGCTACGTAACAAGCTGGGCTGGGTCCTGAGCATGAACTGCAACCACTGGAAGTCCCCTGGACCCCCTCCTGGCACAGCCACAGCTGGTGTTGAGAGCACCGAGACCAGGCCCTGTCAGAGGAAGCGCTGCAAAAGAAGCTGACTTCTCCAGCTGAAGCGCGGCTACCTTATTCTGTCCCTTCCAGGGCAGCAGGAGAGGAAGAACTGAGGTCCAGGCTTGTCCCCATCTCTCTGAAGCCAGGACAGTCTTCTGATGGCCGTGGAGCGTGGAGGCCATTCTTCTGCATGTCCTGGGGGAGCAGCACTCTATTTGTGCCCTGAGTTGCCATGTGTCTTGGGAACAGCAGCCCAAACATTTCAGGACCTGGATTATAAACCTGGGATGCTAGCTTACTCAAACACTCACAGCCCAGGAAAAAGGAGATGGGCTGTCCCAACCCACAGGGCCTTGGGGTTTTCCTGACTTGCAACTGCATGTTGTCAGCTCCTGCCCATTACAAAGATGTCAGTGGGTGCCCTGTGAAGGGTTTTTGACTCGTTCCCATAGGCTATATAACATTAAAACGGTCCCTAATAAGGCCTGAGCTGTCCGTGCCTATGGTTTACCTTTCACTGTGTCTGTCTGTCCAGCAGCTTGGATCTCTTCTCCCGAGGGTCTCTTACTACTTCCTGAGGATGTACCCTAAGCTTCCAGATAGCAATGGGACTGGGAATTACCCAAATGGGCACTCAGTTCTGCCACCAGGCTTCCTGCACCCAGGATCCAGGCCAAGGGCATGTTGAAGCCCCAGTCATTCCAGGGCTCCTGCTACCTACTGCCCAGCTTCTCATGATACTTCCATTTGACCAGAGAATAACGGTCTAACCCAGACTGAAAAAGTATGCTGGTAGGGCCCAATCCTTGCCTGCCTCTCAGAGTGACTAGTCAGTCTCTGGGGCAAGAAGCAGCCCAAGGATGTCACAGGTGTGATCAAGAACTCAGGTCCAGCAGGAGGTGGGGGTTGGTGGTGGTCAAGAAGATACAGATTCGGCGTGAAATGTCAGGTCCCACCCTCCGGGGCTGCCTGCCTCTGTGGACCTTCACGGGGAGGTCAGCTAGGAGATTCAGGCGCTCCTGTTCCGTGCCGCAGTCCAGTAAAGCCTAGAGTGGGCACAGGTGTGAGTATGCAGGCTTTAGGTCCTAGTCCTGGGAAGGGGACTTGGGGATTCACCTGTTGCAGAAGGCGGGGCGAGGGGAAGGCGGTGACAACAGCATCAGCCACAGCTGGGCTGACCCGGTTGAACTGTCTGATTTGCCGCCACCATACTCCTCGGAGCCCAGAGCCATCTTTGGCCACTTGCTGACCTGAGGCCCAGTGCCCTGCTGTGCAGAAGGAAAAGGCCTGGGAGTCCCGGTACTGCCTGAAATGAGAGGGAAACCCAGACAGAGCCTTGAGAACCTTCATCTGTGCTGCCCTCCAGCCCTGTCCCACCTCCACTAGGTCCCTGCGGGGGTACATACTTGGAAGGGCGCTGGGAGAGGGCCTTGGTGAAGGCACACACATACTGACTCAGCTCCTGCCATGAGGCCACCAGCAGCACATCCAGGTCTGCGTGGAGCTGAAGCAGCACCAGGACCTGGGGAGCGTGACAGTGGGTATGGGCTGGATGTCCTCTGAGGAGTGCCAACCCATTTTGCTGGGGACAAAGTCTAGCTCTGACAGGCCCCATACAGCAACCCAAGTGCAGAAGCCGAGGCCAGCCATCTAACGCAACTCAGTGGCAGCCCTTACCTCCTCCACCTCGGGCCAGCTGATGGCCACCTTGCCGTGGGCTTCCTTTGACTTATTTAGCTGCCATGTCCTTTGAGAACTGGGATGCTGAGACCTGAACAGAGGGAACCTTTGGGCTTCCAAATCTCCTGCCTCTGCAGGGTCCACCCAGTGCAAGTGGGGCCGGCTGGAACACAGCAGCCCCTAGAGGCAATCCCATTTTACTAGAACACCACCCAAGCCAGCCCTTCTAGTTCAGGGAAAGTGGTACCACGTGTATGCATCCAGTCCAATGACAGCCAGGTGGAGGCGGGCTGGACTGTTGGGAGGTAGCCAGGGCGTGGAGTAAGGTGGACCTGTGGTCTGAAAGAAGAACCATCACACACCTGCTCTCAGGTGGGCCACGGCAGCGCGCCATAGCCACCAGTGCGGTGTTTCCAGAGGCAAGAGGGAACTGGGGGAATCTCCCAGGTCTTGTCTGTTCTCTGGGGATTGGCTCTGCTTCATTAAGGCTCAGGAGTACCCAGGCACATTCCAGCTACAGTGCAGAAGTGAGCCGGCCCCCTTGCTTCTGGTCCACTTTACACCCAGGCTGGCCATTGGCTGGCCACCCATCAGGTGCTTGACAAATGCTGACCCCTGGTCACTAGCACCCACTAAGAGATCAGCAGAACTGTACTCCAGGCAAATATCAGCTAGGCATTGTTCCCCTTGAGTTCAAGGAACACGAGCAGCCAAGTGAGGGATTATCAGTCGTTGTAGGCAGACCCCATAGCCAGCATATATGGGTACTACCAGCGAGAATTCTAGGCTCCTCCCCCACCCCGGCCAGTTTGCAGTCCAGGTCACCATTCTCAGTTCTCCCAGAGGACCTTCAATCCTCTTGTGTCTAGAGCGCTCAGCAGGTTTCCTTGTATTTCCCTCAACACCTCTATGGTAGCTCCAGCCCTACAAGACAAATGACAGATCTTCCCCAGATACCTGGGACAGCTGCACAGCACTCCGAAGAAACTCCTGGGGTTCTAGCAGCAGCAGCTGTTCCCGCTCATCCTCAGACCACACCTCCAGCGGCACCTGTAGGGGACATCACCAGCCCTGCTAACCACCTGGGTGGGCCCAAGGTTTTTTTGCCCCCTACTGCCCAGCCACCAAACACTGTCAATAACTCTTCAGCTCTCCACACAGTGGCGTTCAGGCCTGCCAGGACTGCTCCCTCGAAGTTCCAGACTACAAAACTAGCCCATTCAATGAACAACCCATCCTCATTGCCAACAGGAGGTTCTGGCAGCAGTTGGGTTCAGGTTTCTTGTGTTAAGAAATGCGACTGGGCATCCTTCAGCTTTTAGGTTACTCCTGTGCGAGGCAAGAAAGATAGATGCAGAGACTTCGCTAGCCAGAGGCAGAAGTGAAACCTGAAATAAGACCGGCACTAGGGTGGTGATAGTGAGACACTCACACTGCTGGGGGCTGGGTCGGTCCTCACGACGCTCCACTGCAGGCTGCGGGACAGGAGCTGCGGCTCGATGCGGCATTCACAGCCTAGCGTGCCCAACGCCTCCATCAGGATATCGGAACCTGCATCTTCCAGGATAGCTGGGAACGGTAGACGACAGCTCGGTCATTTCACCCTCTCCCGTGAGGGCTTGTGGATGACGCTGCCACCCTGACGTGGAGCCAGCCCCAAGTTCCCAGCCTCTTCACCCCCGGCCCCGCACCTGGATCCACGCACACCGCCAGGCGACTCAGGACCTGATCCGTCCGTAATGCCTTGGCCGCAGTCCTGCGCTCGCTTGCTGTACTCGAGGCTTGCGTGCCCACCTTCCTAGCGGCGGCACCTTCGTCGTCTGAGTCGGAGATCTCCCAGGTTTGAGGTCGCCGCTGACCTAGGCCCCGACCCCGGCCGCGACGCTGGCCAGTAGCTCTCCTGGGTACTCCCTCTGCCATAGTCCACCCTTCCCACAGCTTCCGGATGTACCCGGATGCTTTTGTACAGGACACCGACCGCTTCCGGATCGGGAGAGCTCCAGAAGCACAAGTTTCCGGCGGTGTAAGGACACAGGCATGGCGCGGAAGAGAGTAAGACCCCGGCTGATCGCCGAGCTGGCCCGCCGCATACGCGCCTTGCGCGAGCAGCGGAACCAGCCTCGAGACTCGCAGCTCTACGCCCTAGACTACGAGACTCTGACCCGGCCACACTCGGGTCGCCGGCTGCCGGTGCGCGCCTGGGCCGACGTGCGCCGTGAGAGCCGCCTCCTACAGCTGCTCGCCCGCCTCCCGTTGTTTGGCCTGGGCCGTCTGGTCACCCGCAAGTCCTGGCTATGGCAGCACGACGAGCCGTGCTACTGGCGCCTCACGCGAGTGAGGCCCGACTACACGGCGCAGGTGCGCTCTCTCCCTATGCTGCCCGTTCTTGTCTACACTTTATTCATCTTGCCCACCCTGGACCACACCGGCTGGTTCTACCCACCCTGAACCACCTGGGCCTGTATACCTCCCTTACCTACGTAACTTAGTGGCAGTGGCTCTGTGTTGATAATTCCTCCTCTTGTTCTGCAGAACTTGGACCACGGGAGGGCCTGGGGCATCCTGACCTTCAAAGGTAAGGCTGGATGCTAGTTGGAGCTTGTTATGGTTCGCAGGTTATCCAACCAGCAGGCAGTCAGCTTGTCTTCTTTCCCCAGGGAAGAGTGAGGATGAGGCTCGGGAAATCGAGCATGTCATGTACCACGATTGGCGGTTGGTACCCAAGCACGAAGAGGAGGCCTTCACTGCGTTCACTGCGAAACCAGAGGACAGGTTGAACCCTGTCCCCTACCCACCTCTGCTGCGGGCCATGATCCTTGCTGAACGACAGAAAAATGGGGATACCAGTGTCCAGGAGCCACTCCTGAACCTGGAGAGGACTCGGGTGCATCCCTGGGACTACCCTGCAAAACAGGAGACCAAAGGGAAGGCCAAGGGAACCCCAGTCTAACTGCCAGGACGGGCAGAGAAGTCGTTTGAGTCATTTGATGGACAAGTGTCTTTGACTGTGCCAGATCTCCCTTTTGGAGGAGAGTTAGACCCTACAGCCCTGACACACCTCCCAATGAATGGTGGCGCAGTTGTCAGGCTGTCGGTTTCAGGCGGCCTCTTACTCGCACTTTGGTCTGGAAATAAAGGCACGAAGTGGCCCGTGTTGTGGTTTCATTACGTGGGTACCGCAGGACGGGGCAGGGAAGGCGGCGGTTCGCAGCAGGGTGCCTGGTGCTCTGGTACACTCAGGCTCAGGCTGTGCCCAGGGCTGAAATGTGCTGGGACTGCGGAGCCCGCGCCTGGAGGTCCTTTAAGGGAGGCCACGCCCCCTCGCCGCCTGGTCCGCCCCATCCGCCGCCATGATCTGCCTGGTGCTGACCATCCTCGCTAACCTCTTTCCCGCAGGTGAGCACCTAGGGCAGACTGGGGCCGGTCTGGGTGCGTGGTGGAGCATGCCTGAAGTCAGTACTCTCGCAGCCTACAGCGGCGTGAACGAGCGCACGTTCTTGGCAGTGAAGCCAGACGGCGTGCAGCGGCGGCTGGTGGGCGAGATCGTGCGTCGCTTTGAGAGAAAGGGCTTCAAGCTGGTGGCACTAAAGCTAGTGCAGGTATGGGAGGGCAAAGGAACTAGTGAGCCCAGGGCGGGTCTAGGGCCGGGGCCCTGGTACTGGTAGCTGTCTCTCCCCTAGGCCTCCGAAGAGTTGTTGCGGGAGCATTATGCCGAGCTGCGCGAGAGACCTTTCTACAGCCGACTAGTTAAATACATGAGCTCTGGTCCCGTGGTGGCCATGGTGAGTTTCCAATGACCTGCAAGTGGAGGGCTAGGCCTTGGGAGTGCTTATCACACTGACAGTAACCCCTGCAGGTGTGGCAAGGGGTTGTGCGTGCTTCGCGGGCCCTCATAGGGGCCACTGACCCAGGGGACGCCATGCCTGGCACTATCCGTGGGGATTTCTGCGTGGAAGTTGGCAAGTAAGTCCTACCAAACTCCCTGGCCACCCCTCGCCCCTCCTCTCCGGCTCACTTGCCTGCCATTCCCGCACAGGAATGTGATTCATGGCAGTGACTCGGTGGAAAGCGCTCACAGAGAGATTGCGCTTTGGTTCCACGAGGAAGAGCTTCTGTGTTGGGAGGACAGCGCTGGGCATTGGCTGTATGAGTAGATACTACTAAAGTCAGCATTACCAACCTGGAGGTTGCTGGTCTTCACCATCCTCACAGAGCTCGGCGGCAGGAATAGTGCTGTGGGTGCAGGTCCACCCGACCCAGTCTGTCCAGGGACAGCCACTCCCACATCCCTCCCTGTATTTCTTTTCATAATAAACTGCAGAAAACCCTTGTGCACTGGTGTAGTTTCAAGACAAAAGTACTGTTAAGACATTTATTACATACAGAGCAGATATGTGAGTTCACTTGCAAGGCCAAAGCCTGAGGAGAGTTGCACTGGCCCCTTCCTCCAGCTGCACCCACCCAGCTAACCCCGGTCACTTCACACTCCTGTGGGAACAGACAAGGGACATACATCACAGTGGAGAGGTGGCAGGATGGTGGGGAGAAGCCTGCAGCTGCAATGTTGCAGCTTGTTGTGGCCAGGTGGGCTCAGGGGCAGTGCCCCTGGATCTGTGCTTCTCTGGTGGTGAGAGGGCAGTAGAGGCCAGCTGACTCTGATCAATGCCCCTGGAAGAGTAAGACCAGGGCCAGGGCAGCACCTGCCTCCACACACTTGCTTATAACTCTGCCCATCCTGGCCAGTCCTCAGCTCTTCTGGCCTCTCTGCCTGGCAGCCTCTGTTAGTTGCTCTCCAAGGGAGCAGGCCACAGCTGGCAGCCCTAGGCACTTAGTACGTGTCCGCGAGCTGGGCTCCTTCGAGCCCTGTGCAGGAGGCAGGCCCTGGGAGCACACCATCCTCCATTAACCTGAGGCCGAGCCTGCATCCTAGGACTGACTCTGGGGACACCAGGGCCATCCTTCTTCCTGAGGCCTGTGCCTGCCCTGGCAGCCTGAGAAATTCTACCCTTGGGGCTTCTGAGAGGGGCAGGGCACTAGGGTCTTGCTCCTCCAAGGTTAATCTTGTGCCCATGAAGAGCCTAGGGGACACTGGTCTATGAGGGGCTGGGCAATCTTGGGATCCCTTGGGTTAATGGGTATTTGTCATCTTCTGAAGCAGCTGCCCAGGGAGGACGGCCCTGAGCTTTCATGCCAGGTTCCCAGGTAAGACCCAGGCTGGGGCCAAGGGAATATAAGTTTGGAGACAGGGAAAATTCCAGAGAAGGCTGGCTGAGGTCCCGGAATCCAGACAGTTCTAGCCTTGCTTCTGGGCAGAGGACAGTGGCTAGGCCTGGGTCCCTCAGGGCTGCATGCAAAGCAAGTAGACTTGGGGAAGACTCGGCAGTATGCGGCTCCCGCTCCTGCCAGGGCCACCTGTGGGAGCTGCCCATAGCAATCTTGGTCCTGACTTGCCCTGAGGGGCCCCTGGGACTTCACTGGGGCTGGGTGTTGGCCAGGGCCAGGAGCTGCTGGAGAGAGGGTGTCCCACTCCTCCTGTCTCACTCCCCAAACTTGCTTCACCCCTCTCTAACAGCTGGGGGCTGGACCTCAGGCAAAAGCTGCAAGTTGAGAGGTTAAAAGGGGATGGACGAACCTGACTGCCCCAGGGAACAGGCGGGGGGGCAGGCAGGTAGGGTCCTATGTACAGTTGGCATCAGGCAGGGCAGGTTCTCACTCAGGGGTGTAGGAAACCTGCCACACGATGATGTGGCTGCGCTCAGCCTTGGACAACATGGGCTTCACCTGGTTCACATCCCCGGCAACTTCCTCTGTTTCATCATCCTCGCCGTCCCCTGGAGGATTGGCAGTCATGAAGACTCCCCCACACACCCACACCGAGCCCTACCTCTTGCTTGTGCCGACTTACCAATGCGGAAGTCAATGTAACCTTCACCACCACTCAGCACCAGCGCATTCTTCAACTTCTGGCCCTCAGAATCTGCAGCAGGCGCAGCAGGCCCAGGACCCTCTGATGGGCTGTCTAGCACACTGCCATTCAGTGTGGCAAGTACATTTCCTGTGGTGGGCAGAGGAATCTTAGGGCTATAGCCTCCTGAAACGGTCAGAGCTGTGCTACGGTAGCACCGTGGGCAAAGAGGCTAAAGATCATCTATGTACCTGGCACAGAGACAAAAAATTTGACAGCATCACGGTGTCCATGGAAGCAGAGCTGAGCCTGAGCCATGGAGCAGTAGGGGATGAAGCTGCTGGCTGCCTTGTCACTGCTGTCGTCCCCATACACATGGATGACACCCCCTGGGCGGGTCCCCTCCCCAGATGTTGGAGATGTCTTGTTGGCTAGAAAACAGGGCCAGGAGAATAGGACCACCTTATCTTGGGCAGGCAGCTGGAAATGGTGAGTGCTAGGGGCAGAGCAAATGCCCCAAGTCACATGGGGCAAGTGCTGAGTACTTACCTCGGAGCCCCAAAAGCTGGCCTCGATGTAGGACCACAGCTGGGGAAGAGAGAGGAAGGAAGCTGGCTGAGTTGGCCAGAGAGGTGGCTCCCCAGTTCCACCTACTCTAGAAACTCTTTAGCATAGCTGCTGCTTTCTGGATAGGTGTCCTCTAGGGTTGGGAACTTACTCTCAGTCAGGGGGATGGAGATGACAACCCCATTGCCAGTGCCCACCCACAGACGGTTGCCCGCAATGAGTAGGGCTGTGATGCGGACGAAGGAGAAGCCCAGCTTGCCGGTACCTGGGTGAGAACAGGAAGAGCGGTCAGTATAGCCAGTGATGGGTGCCCCAGGTGTTTCCCCTAACATTGCATCTTTATTTGATCTATATTGAGGCAGGTCCTCATGTAGCCCAGGATGGCCTGAAACTTGACTATATAACTAAAAATGACCTTGAATTTTTGATCCTCCTGTTTCCACCTCCCAAGTGCTGGAATTATAGGCATATGCCCACTACTATGTCTGCTCACCCAGCATCTTGCTAACATACGGCTCGATGTCCACATCCTGCAGGTGCTGGTAGGTGTGAGCATGGTAGAGTCGAAGGGTGGAATCCAAGCGAATAGAAACCCATACTCCATCACCGATCCAGGCAAGCTGTCGCACCTGGCTTTCCCGCCTTGGATGGGCATCAAATGATTTCTGTTGGTTGATGGCAGTCAGTCAACAGGGGTGGGTAATGGAGAGGTAAGGGCTTGCTGTGATGTAATGCAGGGTCCACCTTAATGGCACACTGCCTGTCTCAACCTCCAATCTGGCAGAAGCCCCTCGCAACACTGGAGGCCACCTGCTAACACTTGCCTCGATCTGCATTGTCTTGGGCTGGATGACATGCACCTTGTTCTTGTAGCCACACCAGACTCGGTCGTCCACAACAGCCATGCAACGGATGGAGTGGTGTGGGTGGCCCAGGTCCATCAGGTGATAGTTGCTCAGGTCCCACTGGCCATCTAGAAAGAGCCCAGAACACCTGCTCAAGTTTGGCTAGGGTCTATCTCTGATCACTTGATTAGTGTGGAGGACCTACCACCAGGCTCAGGATGGACCAATGGACCCAGGAACCAAGGAACCCAGCAACCCCTAGGCTTGCCTCTGCAAGGGCCACCAGGCCTTACCCTCGCCACGATGGAAGATAGCCAGGGTCCCATCTGCAAGAGCTACCAGCACTCGGCCTTTGACATGCCTGGAATGGTAAGTCAGTAAGGTAGGCTGAGGTTGCAGGGCCCTTGAGTCCCTAACCCCATCCCTTAGTGGGGGTCACATACACCAGGCTCAGCACAGAGTCTTTTAGCTTGATGGAGTGCAGACACTTCTTCCAGTTGGCTACTGCTGAATGCACGTAGAGCCTGCAGGGTAAGGTAGGTAGGCAGAGCTTACATGGCTCATTGAACTCCCCCACCCTACCACGTCCCATGTCTTGTGTCTTTGCCTACCAGCCATTCTGGGCTCCTAGCCACATGGTGGGTGCAGCACTACTGGTGGTTGCAGAGGGCTCCCCACTGGGCTCCACCTGAGGCTGTACAATGCTGCCATCGGGCTCTGGCCCATTCTCACTGCAAGAAGAACAGTAGCTGTAACACAGTGGGTCATAGAAGTATATGCTTGCTCCCTGCCGAACTCTGTCATCCCCCCCTCTCATCTGATACAACCTACCTGGCAGGCTGGGTGCTGGAGGGTGGGGTAGATGCCAGGTCAGTGAAGACATGCTCTGTGAGGGGCCCGGGCCGAACTGTGGTTGCTTCTGGCTCGCTAGGACCAGGGTCTGGCACCTCTGTGGCTTCTGTGGCTTCTTCTGTGGATTGGGATGGGTTTACTTTCCCATTGGCGGTGGCTGCCACATCCCCTGTGGAGAGAGAAGTAAGCTGGGCAAGGCAGAGAAAGAGAATGTGTGGATAGGGAGAAGACTACCCGGGACTCACCCTGCCCCTTGTCCAGTACTGGAGTGTCTCCTCGGGAGGAACAGTTGCTACGTGGTACATTGCAGCGGGTAGCACACCCCACCAGAGTGATGCCAGCCAGCACACCATCAGCACCTGAGTCTTCGGGGTTCACATCACTGTCTAGGAACATCTCCCCAGGGGGATAGTCACTGTCGCTGGCCGCTGGGGAGAAATTCCCAGTCCATCAGTCCAACATCACAAAGCCACCCCAGAGTTCCATCTCAGTGGAGGCAGGGGAGAATGGGAACTGTCTGCTTGGCTGGCCCTGCTCTCAGTTAGCCTAATCTCCACACAGCAACACCTGGCCCTCTGGGAACATCTATTCTCAGGCCTAGTGTCAAGCTTACAGGTCAAAAGGAACTGAAAAATAATGCTCTGCTCCATCATACGAAAAGATCCTGAAGAACTCCAAGGAGTAGAGGCCATCTCAGTAAATAGGTAAGGTTTCAGAGCAAAGATCCGCGGGGCCCTCAGCACTATCCTGGGGCTGGGCTAAGCAGTCATGGGACTGCTGCTGAGGAAGCTAGGACCTTTGCCTGTACCCTGGACAGCTTCTTCCTGGAAACATGCAGAAAGGTAACTCGACACACATCTATTCTGAAAACATCTATTCACATGCCCAGGTCTCTAATTCCTATTTACTCTGTATTTCAGTCCTACCTGGCTGAAAAGGAAGAGCCACCCGCCTCAAACACCAGCTTTGCAGGGCAGTCCACAGGCAGCAAGCACCTGCTGTTGGACAGCACCTGGCAGTGGGAGCCCTAACTCACCAGGGATGCTGGAGATACATAGGACGTGGGCATTGCAAACTGTGAATTGATCCACAACAGTGCCTGGTTGGTTGGCATCAATGATCACCACTTTGCTGGTAGTCAGGGTGCTGGTGAGTATCCATACCCGACTGGAGGTAGCATCCGCCTCAGCGACCTCCTTTGCCTGTTTCAGAACACATTGGAGGGAGATCAAAGCTGTTGCCTGAACTTGGTGCTAAGTCATGGAATCTCTGGGGCTTCCTAAGATCTAGCATTATATATGGAATTAACAGATAAAGTTATCTTCCCCTATAACCTACAGAACCATATCTTGATTCATTTCCAAGAAGCAGCTATGAACTTGGAGAAGCTACTCTTACAGCCCCTAAGTCAAGCTGTGATTGTGTTCTGGGCTTCACTAAAAATCACTGGGCCTCTCCTGTGAGCAGTCCCTCCTGCTACCTATTTTTCCAGACGACACAAGATGTGCCTGGCTCATGCAAGCCTGACTTCTGTTGACCAAGGGCAGTAGACATACTGCTCCACAGGCCAGAAGGCAACCTGACTACAGAGAGGCAGCAATGGCATCTTGAATGCTGGTAGTACCTGCTTCCTCTCCCAGACTCATGGAAGAAAAGAGAAACATTGTCACCAAGGTGTGGTCACTTTCAGCCTGAACCTATAGAGAACTATCCAGAAACTTTATGTAGAGTAAAATCACATTCTTGACCAATATACTGACCTTCTTCTTCTCAGGTGATGGGTGGCTGCTCTTGGGCTCGCCTTCAACTTCCCGGTCGCAAGTCAGAGGGTCTCTACCTGGTGTGGGCTTGGCTCCACTGCTAGAGTCCTCTTCATTCGGTTTCCACCCACTCAGGTTGACACCAGCAGCACACCAAAGCTGTAAGGACAGGACTCTGGGGTCTAGGCACAAGGCTCCTCTGCTGGCCCTCCAGGGGCTAAAGCAATAGAGACTACGCTTTGCCCTTTGGGGCCTGTGAACAGGGTCCTCAGTGCTCACCTTCATTGTGGGGTCCTTCTCTACCAGAGGGCGGCAATACACAGGGACAGGCACATTTTTCATACGGTTGTCTTCCTGGCCTCCATTGGGGCTCAGCTGCAACAGACCAGGAGGTACTGTGGTATGCAGCCAAGGCAAACACACTGGTCTTTAGAAGCCTGAGTCATTTGCCTACTGTCATTGTCATTGGCTTTTGGTGTACAATGCATTGGGTCTGGCTCTTCTGGCCTTCTGTGCTGGCTAGATTTTGTCAACTTGACACAAGCTAGAATCATGTGGGCATAGGAAACCTCAGACCCCATCAGACTAGATGGTAGGCATGTGTGTCAGAGGTGCCACCTTGGGCAGATGGTCCTGGGTTATATAAGAAAGCAAGTTGAGTATGCAATGGAAAACAAGCCAGTAAACAATGTTCCTCCATGATTTCTGCTTCAGTTTTCCTTCATGGAAGTGTAAGTCTAATAAGCCCATTCTTCACCCAAGCTTCTCTGGCCAGTATTTTATCATAGCAACAAAAAGCAATTTTATCATAGCAACAAAAAACTAGAATACTCTCAGAGTTACAGATCCACCAATATCAGATAGGAAGTGGGTACCCTCCTGATTTCTCATATACACTGTGCCTGTGCCTCCTGGCATTGCACCACCACTGTGCTGCGCCGTAGTGATGCCCCCCCCCATACCCTCTCTGTACCTGTACACCACCCTCTGTCCCAATTACCTGCTTGTACTTGGCAGGCAGGCTCCACCCACAGGCCTGCAGCCTTCCGTCATCATTGCGCACGTGTTCACGAACCTGGCGATATTGTTCCCGCTTCTGTTCCCGCCGGGCAGAAGAAGTGCAGTCACTGGGTGAGAGGAATAACAGGTTACTTGTGTTCAATGTTATTTATGTTCACTGAATGAAGGTTACATGAGCAGTCTGTGTCAGGCTGGAGCACCCACAGTCCCACTGATCTTCCTGCAGTGTGCCATTCATTCCTCAGAATCCGCCTGAATCCGCCCTTGACTTTTCTGGGATAGGGTGGGCCTGGAGGGATAGCTTAGCCATTAAAGGCCAGGCTCACAACCCAAAACCGAATAATGACATCTAGGACATGGCATACTCATCTGACACAGGGTAACATCCCCAGTAAGAGGTGTGAGCCTGGGCTTAAGAGGTCATTTCCAGCTCACTCCATGGGCACTGGGGCTCAGATGTCAGGAACTGCAATGTAACCTAGGTAAGATTACCAGTGGTCACTCATAAAGGTGGCCTGCTCCAGTTCCTGTGGCAGCAAGATACACCACCATGTTTCGGGGGCAGTGTTCAGACCCTAAGGCCACACAGAGGAGGTAGGGGTATTCTTGGACCCCGCACAGTCTTCAGGGTCTACAAAAATGGTCCCTAAGAACTGCAATCTCTGCCAAAGGGGATTCAGACAAAACCTGCACTAGTTCTTGCTGGAGGTAGTGGGCCTAGAGAGAAGACGTCACCTTTCCTGCCCTTGATAATGCCTGCCCCACAGGGCAGCAAATTAAAGTTCTGTTCTCCAACTTCAAGTATGGAATGGAATGGGCTTAGAACACCCAGGAGGGGCAAGGGGCTGGGGACACCCACTCATCAGGGAAGAATTCCAGGGGTCGGCTGCCGGCTGAGATCTGGCACATGGCATGGCTGCGACGCTGGCTGAAGCCGGCTGCTGTAGGTGACTTGTAGTGAATGTTCACAGACGGGTAGGACCGTTTGGCTGGAGGGGGGCTGGATGATGAGCTGAAGAGGCGGCTGAAGCTGTCATGGAGACACATATAGTTGAGCAACAGCAGATTGAGTAACAGCAGATTGAGAGAAGCTTCTCCCTCCCTAGAGCATCATACTCACAACTGCCAGATAGTGGACTTCTTCTTTTCTTGGACAGATGGGTGTTCCCTGGATGCTCTGTAAGGAAGGATAAAGGAGGAGCTGAACCAGCTGACGCTGGGGCCCTCCAGACTGTCCCAACCCTCTGGGGGAAAGGAGGTGTGTTGGAGGATAGCCAACCTCATGATATGCTATAATTCTATAATCCCAGCTCAGGAGCCATAGCTCCAACCAGAGCAATGAGCCGGCTCAGGAGCTGTCACAAAAAATGCAGAGGGACCACCTGATCATTTCAGTCCACCGCACAGCCTCCTGCAGCTCCATTAGTCGTTCTTTATACTGGTTCCGTTCCATGAGCACTCGGGCCATCTCTACCCTTGTGAAGCGTCGGCGCTGAGCCATAGGGATTTTGTCCTGCAGAGGGGAGAAGATGGTTCCACCAATGAGGGACGACAGGACAGTCAAGCGTATATGGCTTCCTTCTGAGATGTCTACCACCTAGGTGGGGGTTGGGGGTGGCAAGGGCATGGGGAGAGGGTCAGGGCAGCCCAGATGGGTTTTGCCACTCTTCCCCCCTCCCAAGCTGCACCCTGAGCTTGAGCAGGATGAACTTCAGGGAGTTGGGAAAAAGTGCACAGAAGGCAGGTCATCTCTCTGCACATGGCTCCATCCACTCAGAATCTGCTTTTGTTAATGCACAATAAAGAGGCCTGAGGTCTGAACTCTTTCTTATGCAAGTGGCCACAGTCCATGTTCTCAGACTCTCCTAGACTCTCCTGAGATGGAAGTTGTAGAGCAAGGGGGAGAGGGCATCACATGCCCCAAATGACTGAGCAGATGAGTGACTGGTGGTGGATGTTGCTCTGTTACAAGGTACCCAGCCTGTTCTCCTCAAGGTGCTGTGGTACAGGAGGGCAAACTATGCTAGCTCGGACCAATTTTGGGTGTGGGAAAAGGTGCAGGCTCGGGACTTGGTTGCATTGCCCAGGTTGCAGATGCATAGCAAATGGCTGGTGTTGCTTCTGCAGCCTCTTTGGTAACAGTAAAACCTGCTGAGACTGTAGAAAACATCAAAGGGAAAGGGTAGAAAGGTGACTCTGCCTCACTGTAGGGAGGGGCTGAGGACATCAAATCACTATGTGGAGTGGGAAGACATGAACTGGGTTCCGAGGTCACAAGTGAGAGGTTAGAGGGGCCCAGAAGAATCAGGAAGTCTAGGAAGCGCTGCCATTCCCAGCCCACCCGTGCCCACAGGTTAATAGTAGATATACCAATTCTGTACAGAGATAGCTGCTTACATCCTCCACCTCTTCTCTGGGCTCACGGCGTGCGATTACTGCCTCTGACTTGACTCTACAGGATATGGGAAGAAGCAGGCAGGGTAAGAGCTCTGCCAAATGTGCTCCACAGCCCAGACATTTGGCTGTTCTACCCAAAATGGGGGTGATCCAAACCCAAGAAGGAGTGAATCAAGGTACTTGGTGGGCAGGCAAGTCCGGAGTAGGTAGTGCCCACAGGCCCTCCCTACACTGCCCCTCCCATCTCAGAGGGGCTACAACCAGGGCACAGGATTTCCAAAGCCCATGTGGATTTGACCTTTGCTGTGGAGGAGAAGTGTGGTTACTTAAGTAGCCATTGATGCCTGATCAGCCCCTCATTCCTGAACAAGGAATCAGGGGAAAGCTGTAACTAAGGATGGCACTACCATTCCCAGAAAGGCACATGAAGCAGGACTCTGTACCTGGTGAAGGCATAGAGGACTTGAGAGGAGACAAGGGGGTGGGCAGACAATGACCTACCTAGTGGCTGGACCTTGAGCAGAGATCACAAAGCTAGGGGCAGCAGGGGGCTCTGAGATGTCACCAGTGGAAGATGGCTTTATTAAGGACATAGAGAGGTGGCAGCTTGGAAACCCAAGTTTCTGTTGTTCTCACCGTTTCAGCTCTTCTTCAAGTTCTTTGATTCGGTTTTCCAGCTTGACTTTGGCTTGTTTGGCGGCTTCCAGCTCACCCTTCAGCACTTCCTGCTCTCCTGACAGTTGGTCAACCTTGGCAATGAGGTCATTCTTCACCACATTCAAAGCATTTCTTTAAATGGCAGAAAGATGAGGGCTTAATGAGAACACATTTGCATATGTTTGTGACAAGGACTTCTACTTGTTTTGAGACAGAACTAGCTCAGGCTAGTTTCAAACTCACACTCAGTCTTTTGATTATCAGGAGTACAGGCCTTTGACACATCCTAGCAGGTAGATCCTGGTCTAGAATGGGAACACCTTTTTGACCTAAGCATTGAATGTAGCAGTCATTCTTGCTAAAGGCTCCTTACAGCCAGCTTTCTGAAGGAACCACTCAGGAGTCCTATGGGTTGTTCCCACTAGAGGTGATGGTAACAGTCACGTTTCAGGGGCCACCCAACCCTGGGTCAGACCCGGATAGTATAGAAGATTCTTACTTTGTCTCTAGAAGCTGCGAGTTCTCCAGCAGCAAGTTCCCCACTTCTTTGCCCATTCCTGAAATGAAAGGTGGTGAGGTTTGCCTTGAGCCTCTCCAAGTGGACTTTGCCCTATTGCACCTGCCTCTGCCCCAGAGTAACAACTTTCCTGGCCCTGTGGCTTCAGGTGAAAAGAAATGAGGGCTTAACATTCCAACCTGCAGGATAGTTGGGCTCCAAAAGAAGAAGCAGTCAGACGTAGACAGATCCCTGGCCTCATCTACAACCCAGAGAAAGCCCTGCTCTTCCCTGAGCTCACACTGAGCTAGATAATTCTTCTAGCTAGCTCCCATCAGAAATTCAGTCTTGTAGAAGGCCCTAGAATAGCCCCTGTCATGCCACTTAACTCCCTGCCCTTAGCCATGTCCATATTCCAGCTCTATAGTATACCCACAATGAACCAAGGCCTTTCAATGCCATCCACTGGTGAACAAATGTTGGCATTGTGACAAAGGACAGAGATGACAGCACAGTACTCAGAGAAAACTTTTGCCCCAAGGATTGCAGTTGCAGCCCACCATGAGATTACATGTAAGTCTGGTAGGACCTGGCCCTTAGCAGTGGGGTCAGGAAGCATGGGGAGGAAGCATGGGAGGGACAGGACTTTTTGTGGGAAACTGACCCAGCCCTTCTGCCAACAGACTGAGTTCTCCAAATATATATCTTATAATGCCCATAGAACCAAATTTAATCCTCAGGTTAGCCTTCCCCCACATTCTTGTCTGAAACAGCAAAGGCACAGTGAAGTGCTGGTTATAGGTCAGCACGATGTCCATTCCGACCTCCTTTGTTTTCCCCTGGCAGCCTGAGAGAGAACACCAGGCACAAGGTCTGTCCTGGGCCTACAGAGCCTCTCAGAGACTGATAGTGGTTTGTCCATGGTGACTAGCAGCTTGGAGGGAGGGTCACTTCCCACCCCAGCTGAAACAGAATGGAAAGATGGCACCCCAGGTCTGAGGTCCCTGGAAATCCTGAAGCCACACTCACTGCCACTGGCCCACCATGAAGAACAAAGCAAATGGCTCATGAAGCATGAGAAGAAGTTGGATAGAAAAAGGAGGCCAGAAAGAGGAAAACAGACACTTAAGCAGGGCCTTGGCCTTACCAAAAAAATCATTGCGCACTACAGGAGCATCCCAATCCCACAGGAGACGGGCAACAGGGCGGGAGGAGGGAGAGAAAAGAAGCGCGTTAAGCCTATGTAGACAGCAAGGTGGGAGGTGTTAGGGAACACTTCTGGTTGGGTTAGAGTTGGCAGCAGAGGGGACAGGAGGGCAGGAGGCTGGATGAAGCCAGAGACTCCTTTGAAACTTTATCTGTGGACAATAGAGCAGATGGCCAGAGGAAACCACACAATGAGAAGCTGTGCCCAGGGGCTTGGCTGCCATTGAACACACTAAAGGGCCATAATTATAGGAGTATGTGGGCCTCAGGGCCTCTTGTGCACAGCAGTTCAACTTGGCTACCCAGGTGGACTGCACAGGGGTCTCATGGCACCCTTAACTTCTAGGGTTTACTGTCTTATGCTCCTAGTGGCTCTATAGATCCCTCAGAAATGGCCTTCAGGCCCTCAAGCCTTTTTAGACTTAAAATGGGGGTCATACATTAAGAATCTGTCAGTAGGGGGCTGGAGAGATGGCTCAGTGGTTAAGAGCATTGCCTGCTCTTCCAAAGGTTCTGAGTTCAATTCCCAGCAACCACATGGTGGTTCACAACCATCTGTAATGAGGTCTGCTGTATACATAATAAATAAATGAATAAATAAATATTTAAAAAAAAAAAGAATCTGTCAGTAGTCAGTGGAGCAATCCCATCTGGGCATTTTGGGCAATAGCAGGCTGGGAGCAAAGCGCATGGCTATAGGGGCTAAGTGGCTTGGAGCAGCCAGACAGAAATAAGAGGTCAGTGTGCACAGCCCTTAGTGATGGTCAGCGGCAGGGGAGAGTCCCACGTGTATGCCCCACCCCCTGCTCCAGCTGCTCTCCACAGTGGAAAGAGGGGACCACAGGGAGACAGACGGGAGAGATACACACCTGAGAACTCCCCTGGGCCGCGTCCAGTGAAGCAGAGAGACAGGGAAGGAAGCAACAAAGGTCAATTGGTAACTAGAACCAACAAAGAAATTCTTACTTAAAAGAGAAAAAAAAAAAACAATGATTCAGCCATTCCTATGTAGATGGACATGAAAAACAAAACACTTCAGCAGGTCCAGGTCAACACATTCCTAAAGGGACAGACCAAAATGGACATTCCTCCCTCTCCAAGGGACCTAGAGTACCCCAGTTCTTGTTCAGCTCTGCCAGAAATCTGTAGCCACCCAGTGGTAAGCTAGCACCCAGAAGACCTCAACAATTATGGCCTGTAAAGGGAACGATGTGTGTGTTGGTGAGCAAAGGATACCAAGGAAGCCCTCCAGAGTGAACAAGCCGTGCTGTCGGTGTACATGGGGACCCTGACATGTCACAGATGTGCACCTGGGGCTGGATTTAGGGGTCTCCTGTTCAGCCCAGTTCTTACAAGACTAAAGGGAGGGAGAACATGACCTTGAGTGAGGGACAGGATGAGGATAAGGGAGAAATTACCCCACTGTTAAGAGAAAATAAACCAAAGAGTAGTAGGGGGCTGGGGAGCATGGAGTGGTCTGAACAGACCTCACTAAGTACAGACCACTTCAGTACAGACCGCTAGGGAAAAAATGGGACTGAAGTAGGGAAACACTTTTTTTTTCTTAATAAATTTAAGGAAAGAATTCTGTTCTGCTCATGTATTACACAGGGAACAAAAGCAGCATGAAAACCTACTTGATTTAAATATCAAAATATTTATCATAGAAATCTAAATAAAGCAGAGGACCATTTCAGAAGTTGCAACCCTTTCCTCACACCTCTCGAGACAAACATCCCACACTATCCATTCTCCCAGGCAGGGGACGCAGAGCACGCTGGGTGTCTGCATCACTGCTCATCATGATCTTTTCCTGTCACACAAAAGGCATTCATCATTCTGCATGCCCATTATTCTCCAGGACACGTTGGTATAGATCACCAGAGAACTTGTGGCCCATCTACCTGTTGTTCCACAGGTAGTGGTTCACTCCTCTTACAGAGCTTCATACAGGGAGCAGGGCAGCACCAGCTCCCTGCCATGCTCTACAACTCTTGATTAATTTTCACTTTCATTAATCCTGAAGCTGAGTTGTTTTTATATCACCTGTGATTTTCTAATTTATTTTCTGCCAGTTTTCTACTGAACTTGATTTGCTCTAATAGTAAAGAACACTCACATACTTTCTTGCCCTTTTCTTTTGTTCTGAGCACTGCAGATCAAACTGGCTCCTGCTAAGCATGTGTTCTACCACTGACTGCATTCCAAGTGCACACACGTACTCTTATCACAGTCAGATGTGTGGACATTTTTTCTGGTGGTTTTGTAGAGACTCGGAAATACTCTCCAATATCCTTTCTTAACTCTACTTTCCTTGTATTTTTGTTTAAATATTTGAGCAAAGCCGGGCGGTGGTGGCACACGCCTTTAATCCCAGCCCTCGGGAGGCAGAGGCAGGCGGATCTCTGGGAATTCGAGGCCAGCTTGGTCTACAAGAGCTAGTTCCGGGACAGGCACCAAAGCTACAGAGAAACCCTGTCTCGAAAAACCAAAAATAAATAAATAAATATTTGAGCAACCTAGAATTTATTTCTATTTTATGTTTAAGATCAAACATTTTATTACCATATGGAATGGAGCTCACGTTAGTCCAAACATCTCTGACACCATCCTCTTACACAAGCTTGTCTACTTCTCAAGGAGAGCTGTTTCTAGACTATATGGGACAGTCTGCTATAAAAGGAATGAATCTGATCACTGTACACCAGAATGACACAGATCGGGTCTGCATGTCACAATTCAGATTGCTCTAAGTGATGCAGGGGAACTGCTTGGTTTCTCCGAACATCAGTTTCCTTATCTGTACATGAGAAACATAATCCCCTTAAGGTGCATAGTGTGACGTCCCCAGCAGACAGTGTGAGCAGAGGTTTCCATGATACTTTCTACTCTTAAAACATCCATTCTGTATGTATTTTCCTTGGCATTTCTGAAGCCTTGCATGTGTGCGTGTAAACAGTAACTGGCATGTTATAGGTTAATTTGCAGCTTTTTTTTTTGTAAACTGAGCTTTTGAAAATAGTGTATGTTATAACTTCTGTTTGATAGACATAGTGTATGCCAGGCAGTCACTTTTACCACCTTCACTGCCAAGATACACAGCTGGAAGCCAGGACTCCTAGGCAGAGAGCTCGCCACTATTATCCCAGCTGGTGATCCAAAGCATTTATCTAATGACCTAAGGCTGTGTGTGTGAGAATATGGCATCTCTCCCTCTCCTGCCTATGAGATGCTCAGAGAGCTGACGAGATGTGTCTGTATAGCTACATACGTTGCTCAGGTGTGCTTACTCACTGGATCCTATCTGTGCCATACCATCTTTAAAACCACACACGAGTGGCTGTGGCCACAAGCCAGAAGGGCCCTTGGATGGATGTCTAAGTAGAGGAGACAGCCTCTAGCTCATTCCTCCAGAACTTGGTCACCATAGTAAGTCACTGAGTACGGTACTCAGACTGCAGTAGTAAATCCTGCCTGAGCTCCTTATGACCCATCTGACTTCTGCATTCCTACATAAAAAGGCTCAAAACCACCAAAAGTGGGTCTCATGGCAACCTTAGCTCAGGGTGACCACTGTCCCATAGAAATGACAGGAGAGTTAGAGATGCACAGCAAAACACAGGGAAATATGTCTTTGCTGTGGCGGAATAGTACACTGATGCCCACTTCCCTAGAACAAACACCATCACCCTGGCTCTCTGTGGCCACAGTGTCAGCTACATAAACTCATAACCTGACTGTCACAGGCACCTCAAAGACCATTCCCTGTGCTCCCATGTATGTGAACTTTCACCCTTCACTACTTGACTGTGAGGTGGCAGTCCTAGCCAGAGCTGCTGCTCCCTGTAGAGCAATGAGAAGCAGTAGCAGGGTCCTAATCTGCTTAGAACTGGATGTGGAGACCTGTGGGAGAAGCCTGTCCCTTTTCCTAGAACATAGAGAGGTGGCCCCGGAGTCACCCAGAAATGGCTGTCATGGTGTGTGCTAGAACTGCTACCCAAGATCTAGAGCTTTTCCCAGTGTGGCACTACTCCTAACACTCAGCTGCCCACATTCAGGGGACACCAAATGCTAGCAGTATAACTCTTGAATAAATTAAAAACTATAAACAGAGACTTTAGGGGATATTCATAGAATAAAGATTTACCTTAGTAAGATTATGAAATAAAAGTCCTCAGTCCAAAGGAGCAAAACACCCATCCTCATAAGTTAAAAAACAAAAACCAAAACAACAACAAAATTAAGAAAGTCCCAGTGTCGAAGAGTCATAGGTGATAGATAGGCTGTGTTTACCTAGGAGGTCGGCTCCCTCATCCACATCCCCGATGACCTCAGACCCTGCTGTAGATAGTTCATAGGTGATAGACAGGCTGTGTTTACCTAGGAGGTCGGCTCCCTCATCCACATCCCCGATGACCTCAGACCCTGCTGTAGATAGTTCATGATACAGGGAATCAGTGTTGATGCCAAAAGCTTTGTTTACGATTCCCTGGGTTGGGCTGCTGGGATACACAGAAAGAGCAGTTAGTAACAGCATTGCAGAACCACCTGGCAGCAACCCTCCAAGCCTGTGTTAGAGTCTGCAAAGGAAATGTCTCCAAAAGCCCAGATAAACTTAGGAAGCGGGGTTTAGTGGGAGGAAATGAGATTACAGAGGGTATGCATTTCAAGGTCCTAGTAGGACCTCAGCCCTTCCTCCATGTCCTAGGCTCCACAAAGTAGGCAACCTTCTCACCTCATGCTTCCTTCACAAACACTGCCCAAAGGCCAAAGCCCTGAAACTTGAAGGTGTAGGTCAAAAATCAACTTTTTGTTTTGTCTTTTGGGGGACAAGGGTCCTCTGAGACAGCCCTGGCTGTTCCAGAACTCACTATTTTGCTGCAGGGCTAGGAAACTGACAGACTACCTAGTCAATGACATCCCTCCCCCAAAGGCACTCTGAATCTCATCCAGGGCCTGGCTGAGTGAGCACCTGCTTCCTGTGCGGTCCAGACGGGTTTCCGGACAGACATCCAGCTCTGGGGTAGAGTCGATAATGTCTTGAACATCAGACCACTCATCACTGCTGCCCATACCTAGCACAGAACATAGGTGACCTGGTGTCAGGGGACAACCTGAAGCCTCTGCCCTATTCATAAAGGCTACCTGGTCTGCATCTTTAGAATTCACACTAGTTTCCACTACATAGGACTGCCAAAAGAGTTCTTCTCATACTGGTCAGGTAGAAGGAGACTCCAGGACCCAAAATAGATACACACTACTGAGGGTAGATTCCACTCCCTGCCCTGTGTGACAGCATTTAGAAACTGGGTATTTTTGTTTGTTTGTTTTGTTCTTCCAGACAGGGTTTCTCTGGGTTGCCCTGGCTATCCTACAACTTGACTTGAAGGACAGGTTGGCCTTGAACTCTCCTGAGTGTTGGCATCAAAGGAGTGCACCACTACCACCTGATGAAAACTGGGTCGTTTAATATTTACTTTATTTTTGAGATAAGAGTCTGATATGCCCTAGGCTAGTCTTAAACTTCTGATCTTCCCACCTCAACCTCCCAAGAGCTAGGATTACACGTGTATGCCACCATGCTCAGCTTGGAGTCTGGTCCTTAAGGTTGTGACCAAGGTAAAAGGAGGCTGCTTGGCTCACCTTACTCCATGGGGGTCCCTATGAGATCAAAGGACAGATACCGTAAAGACAAAAGGAGGTGGTGCTCTGTAAGCCCAGAAAGGAGGACCTCTGCACAGAGTAGGACTGTCTGCACCTTCCTGGTCATCCTACTTCTAGGACAGCTATTTAAATTGCCTACCTGCGGGCTGGAGAGATGGCTCAGAGGTTAAGAGCACTGACTGCTCTTCCTAGAGGTCCTGAGTTCAATTCCCAGGAACCACATGGTGGCTCACAGCCATCTATAGTGAGATCTGGTGCCCTCTCCTCTTCTGGCATGCAAGTATACATGGAAGGAATGTTGTATACATAATAAATAAATAAATCTTAAAAATAAATAAATAAATAAATTGCCTACCTGTGGTATTTGTTATGGAAGCCTTAGCTATTATATTTGCTCAGGCTAAAACCCAAAGAGGAAGAAACATCTCCCAGGTGTGGGCAGCAGATATGTGACCTTCCCCGGTGATGGGATGGCTGGTTGTGCGTTGAACAGGTAGTGCACTGGACAGACTACATACCGATGCTGACGTTCCTCATCTCCTGGGTAACCTGGACCTCCATGTTGCGGCTGTTGCGCTTCTCTCGGGCCCGCTTGTTGTTCTTTGTGACACTGCCATAATCTCCCAGGGGCTGTAGGCTCTCATTAAGTGGTGTAACTGCTGCTGAGGGCACGGAGGACGTGGGTGTGTTGGACTTGGTACCTGTGGTACTGGGAGTAGCAGCTGCTGAGGACTGGCCTGACTCAGACATCTCATCATTTGGACACTAGAGCCAAACAGAGAAAGGAGGAAGAACATCACAGTAGGCCATTGTGCTATGGTTAGAGTGGCTGCTGAGACCCCATGGCTCTGCTTCTCTGTTACATGGCTATGACCAAACAACACTGTGTCCACTTGCAGAGGCAGGGGTGTCCTTTTAGCCTAATTACTCCTGAACAATGATGCTCACTCATATCTGCCTCTGATTTTCCAGAAGCAGCCACAAGTTCACAGAGTACAACATCTGCCATAGGACAGTCCAGCACAATCATGAGTGATGCCACACAGAGGACATGGCGGAAGACACAGTAGGTGAAGGTGACCTCTGCAGTTGTAGGTTGGTCAGAAACCAATGGCAGACTAGCATGGGGCAAAAAGGCTGTACCTAGGGATAAGAAAGTTGCTGCCTGGCACTGGGTGAACAGGTTGTGCTGTACACTAAGCTACCTCATTACTACTGCCTTTTACCATCTCTAGGACATGAATGCTCAGCCCTGGCTTAGGACAGTGGTAGAGAGGACCACAGTGTTCCTCTGACTGTGGCTGGGACTTCCATAAACAGATCCTGAGTACTTCTTTCACACATCAGTTGAACCAAAGTTTAGCCCTGAACAGCAATGCAAATTTTGCTTTAATAAAAAGAGCATTGTTCTGGAAGGAACCAGGCTCTTATAGAAGCCCGCTGCTAACCTTATACATCTTGTGAGGGAAAAATAAAGCACTCATTGAAGTGCAAAGGCACTTCTACTGAAACAGGAAGCAAACATTTTTTATGCTCCTATTAGAGAATTTCAATAAAAAATTGTCCCCAAACATTCCTCTATTAACTAATATTGATGAATGCATATGACATGAACCTGAGTAGATGCTCGGGTCATTCCAGGAAGCAACTGGCCTTCAGAGCCCTTTGCTTCTCTGTTGGGAAGGCCAAGGAAAATGACTAAACATCACAGGTATGCATTGTACTGGCTGCTAGAGTCTTGTCTTCCAGAGAGTAGGCATGTCTTCAGAAGAGTGTTCTGTTGGGGAGGATGTTCACCAGGGTGTAATGAGGAAATAGAAGTATATGGCTCTGGACAGAACTGGTTAAATGCAGAGATATGAACTAAATAGTGTACGCCTGAGTCTCATAGGTCAGAGCTGGTGCCCTTTTGTGGGTGCCTCTGCTCAACTCACTGGGTCAGTGCCAGGCCCTAGCATGAGTCTCTCAGTACTGGATACAGTCATTTCTTCAAACGACAAGGTTCTAGCTCTATCTACCAAGCGTCTTTATTTCCATATAAGCAATTGTGTAGGGATGCTTGGCAAAGGACTGCTCTCTTGTCAGAATTCATTGGCGCTCCCGGCATCAAGTGCGTGAAGGCCAAGGATGCCACTCTGTATCCTACAATGGCCGATGGTCCATAGCCAAACACAATTCAGTCCTAGCCAGCAGTGCTCAGGCAAGGAACCTAACACCAGCATGCAGTCCAGCCATCTTGGAAATGGCTTTGTAACAATATTCTAGCTCTGTATCTGAATCCAGCTTCTGTCCAATATGACAAGGAAGAAACATTTTTCTTCTTCACATCCTTGTAAATGCCAAGAGGTGAGCATGGTTCACATGGATCCTGAGATGTAGCTCAAGACTTGTGCCTGACCCTCTTCAGCGGCATCCAGGTGCCTTCCAGATGCAGACAACTGCTGCCGCCACCAAGGAAAAAGAAAATCCAAGCAGGCCAGGAAGGAGCCAGGGCGTGAGTCCCACTCATTTCCAGACCTCCTTTCTCAAAGTCCATTTCCTTTGCCTATTGTAAAATGGGGGCATTTTGCCCCTGGGTTGTGCCTCCCCCAGTGTCCCCACTCTGTTATCCTACAGGGCCACACTTACCCAGGGGATACACCCCCCTGGCCACCACTTACCTAGGGCAAACCTCTCAACCTCCTAAACATCAACGGGGAGCAGTGACCTCCAAATGTATTGCAAAGAACCCACACTCTTAGCGATCATTCCTCACCATGAGTAGCCACAACTGTTTGGTTAAAACACTATAGTATATAAAAACAAAAAACAAAACAAAAAACAAACAAAAATTAAGAAATTAGAAAAACCTTAAAATTTGGAGCATGAAATAAAAAGAACTTAATGTAATTACTTTTAAAAAATAAGAAAAATCAAATAAAACACACAACAAACTAAAACATAAAACATTTGTGGTTTTAAGAGAGAAAAACAACATAATGCAGTAGAGACAGAAAAGACAGGGTAAGAAGAAAAGTCGGTAAAGCATGGGCTTGAGTGGGTTCCTGGAGCCAGACTGGGCCAGGCATAAGCGCCCATGGCCTTCCTGTAGCTTCTGCAATGCTTAAGGGAAGCCTTCCCACAGGTCTGCTGTGAGGGAGAGTGAATGAGCAAGCGACTGAGCGTGAAAAGCTGGCATAATGGCAAGGCCATGTCTAGATGACCACGGATAGCAAAATGCTTATGGGTCTTGCGGCCTTCTCCTCAGGGCACATACACTGACAGGACAGTGAGACAGGGCACCGGTACCTGTCTCAAAGATATACTCATTGCCTAAAACAAGAACAGAAGCAGGGGGTCACTTTCTGACAGAGTCATCAGCACACAGCAGCCCCTGCAGGCAAGTTGGACACAGGCAGAACAGTCAGCCAAGAACAGCAGGAAATTTCAGAAGGTCTAGATTCCACATCCATCAAGTTCAGAGGCCCAAGAGTGTATGTCCCCAGTTCCCTCTGTGGGGAACTTTCCACCAGACCCAGGGGCACCTCCTCCACCCCAGGAAGGCAGTCTCCCTTACCTGGCAATGCTGCAGCTACCTTCCAGATAGTCTAAGCACACAGCCCCCTTGTACAGAAAATGACCTGGGGCCCTGAATAAATAACCTGGCCTTTTCTGGGCTCCATGTTTGGGATACATACCTGCAAGTGGTAGCATCTGCCTTCTCAACTTGTAGCTGAAGAACTATGACCAGAGTCAAGTAGAAAAGAGCCCAGGCCAAAAGCTATCTCAATATTTATGCCCCCTCCTAGCAGAAGCTTCCGATTCTAGACACTGAATGCCTGAAAAAGCCTTGAGAGTACCATGTATCCTGGTACATCTAGTCAGAGAAAGGCATATATTTGGGGATATGTTCTGTTGTAGCTAAGTTCAGCCTTAATAAACATGGCATCCTTGGCTGCAGAGTGGCCTGAGAAACAAAGGGGCTAGCCTGGACTCACAGGTGTTAGTGTGAGGTCAAACAGAGCAGGAAGCTCATGCCTCCTGACACCCCAGCTCTGTTTCTTTGTCCTTGTCTTATGTCAGGATGGCATGAGCCAACTCAGGGAAAAGGGCAAGGACTGGAGTCTCCTGAATGGACATGGGATATCATGGGGACCCTCGCTACAACCATGGCTACAAAACCTGGTAGCTGGAGCTGGACTGCAGCTGGCCGAGGTCACTCAGGTGCCAGTGGTCCCCCGCAGACACGAACTTGCCCCCCATCTGTGCACGTACCATGCCGTCAGCCAGGGGGAAGACATTCAGAGAGGTGGGACGCTCCTTCCTGCTGCAGTAGGAAGGAGAGAAGCACAGGAGTAGATGGTTAGAGGGTGCTATGAGAGAAACAAAGTTCATTTCTTGGCACAGAGATAATGTCTGGTAGATGGCAATGTTTAAAGTGGCATTCCATACTCAACCACTAAGTATCATTTCCACACATTTGAAAACTGTTTCTTAACTAGGACTCAGGTGTTTTTCGCTTCCATCATTTTTTAATTTTTTTAAAAAAATATTTTGTATATGGTTGTTTTGCCTGCATGTACATCCGAGCACATGCATGCCTAGTACAATGGAGGCCAGAAGAAGGCATTGGATTCCCTGGAACTGGAGTTACAGATGGTTGTGAGCTACCATGTGGATGCTGGGAATTAAACCTGGGTCCTCTAGAAGAACAGTCAGTGCTCTTAACCTATCAGCCACCTCTCCAGCTCCCCTATTTAAATTTTAAACAGAAATAGTGTCAGAGCTAACAATCCTAAAGCAATACCAGCAAGAGCTTTTTTTAATATTTATTATTTTAAAATTCTGTATATAGGTGTTGTGTGTGGGTATATGCATGTGAGTCCAGGTGTCAGGTGAGTCCTCAAGGGAGTGTCAGATTCCATATAGCTAAAGGTAGAGGCAGTTGTGAGCTGCGTGGTACATGTGCTGGGAATTGAACTCAGGTCCTTTGGAAGAGCAGTCTCTCCAGCCCCACAACAATACCTTTATTCTCCCTTAACCAACTAGTTTGTTGGACTTTTGTGTGTAAGTCTCCATCTTGTATTTTTTATTTTATTTTATTTTATTGGTGTTTTGCCTGTATGTATGTTCATGTGAGGGTGTTGGATCCTGGAGTGTGAGCTGGGAATTGAACCTGTGTCCTCTGGAAGAGCAGTCAATGCTCTTAACCACTGAGCCATTTCTCCAGCCCCTCCACCTTGTATTTTGAGACAGGGTCTTCTACTGAACTCACCCACTTACTAGCCTACCAGCCAGCAAGCTTTGGGGATCTGAGCCCCCACTGGCCCATCTCCTCATAGCCCCTTCACAGGGCTTCTCATTGTGAGTGCCTTAACAGGACATGGTCAGAGCACTGCTGCAGTGACTGCTAGACTGTGATGGAGGACATGGTTTCTATGTGCAGATCCCCCCAGCCATCAGAGCTCACAGAAAACAGGTCCAAATCTAGAGAATCTGGCAAACTGAAGGTAATGAGCAAAGCTCAAGCTTGTCCCCAAGATTCTCCATGAGCCATAAATAGTAAATAGTGGGGACAGATTCCAAAGCCATCCTGTCAGAGGCTGCCAATCAAGCAGGTTTGGCCATCCACAGGTCTAGACAATACCACACTCCCAGGGCTCTGTCTAAACTGTTCAAAGCTATTCAGGTCAAGTATTAGTCTGGTCATGCCAAAACAACCAACACTGGGTGTTCAGCACCTAGAGACATGAGAGGGTAGGTGTCTTCCTCTGGGGTCGCAAGGAGCCATGTTCAGAGGTTACCAACACATACTCTAAAGGCAAGAAATGTATCCTTTCCTTACTGCATGAAGAATGCCAGAGGATGGGGAGGGCTGAGGGCAGTAGCATGCTCAGGAACTGCCTGTGGCTGGCCCTTCAGCTTGAGAAAGTATGAGTCTGGGCAGGGATCTCTTGGTAGAGACTGGGCAGTTAGTCTGCCCTGCCCTAAACAACACTGTCTCCTGAAGTAAGGAGACCCTAGCACTTGCTGGGACTGGACTTTGCTGTTTTGTTGGCTTGTCATGGAAAGGATAGAACCAAAGAGGCTGACTGAGTGTTACATGTGGGGACTACGGTTTGGGGTAGTGGAGGAATGCTCAGGGCTAAAGTGTCTCTGGAAGGCATTCTCCAATACCAAGCTTGCATGATTCCTCCACACAGGGCATGCTGGGCTGATTAGCATTAAGTGGAAAGAATTCAGATGCTGAGCCCCAAGAGAATTGGAGAGTTTATTTACTTAAACTTCACTACCTCAGCCCTATTGACAAGATCTCACAAGTGCCAAGCCTCTGGGCCACTGAAAAGGCAGCAAAGCCAGGGACTGGAGCAGGAACTCATTAGCCCTGCCTGTTCCAGTAGGCTCCCAGCCTCCCTAACCATATTGTGCCCCCATGGGGAAGACCCTTGGGCCTAGCTCTGACCCCATTAAGTACTCTTACTCTTGATCCTGGGTGAGAAGAACATAATGTGTTCCTAGTCCTTGTCCTTGAGCTAATGATGCCTGTTCCGCTCCTCTCCTTTAGATGCTACAGGATGAGAACAGGTGAGGTGGCTCTTGTCTCAGAGGACAGAAAACTCATACATTGCAGATGATTAAATCCCCAGCTTAAGATGTTTCTACTGGTCTACCACCTCCCAAAACAGGGCAAGTTGAAACTTCAGCCACACACTGCTCTCAGAGGCTGCAGTCTATAGCATGATTTCGTCTGTGATATTTTGTCTGTAGATATTTCTTGAGTGTTGGGTAGAACCTGAAACCTAGAAAACTCAGGGAACTCTTGCTCTGCCAACAATGTGTGGCTATGCTGAGGTATCCACTAAGTCTGTACTTCTTGAGTCTTGAGAATATACAGCTGCAGGTCATCAAAAACACCTGTGATTCAATCAACATAATCACTGTCCTAATTCTTCCCTCAGACAACCCCAATCCTCACAGTGACCCTAGCACTGCAGTGGGCAAAGACCAGCAGGCTTTTACCTTTTCCTCCACGACTGGCGAGGACTGCAAGCAGCAAAAACAATGGCCAGCACACAGCACAGCAGCGACAGTACAGAGGGCAGGACAAGAAGACCACATTAGAGAATGAAGGTCAGACTGGCAATAACTATGCATGTATTCATAGGGAAAGCATGAACATGATGATGGTGAGATATCTGGACCCCATCATGTGTTCCCCTCTACACAAACAGTTATACACAGTATCTACAGGAATAGACACACGGGATACGGATCTTTGTGGTTTTGACAAAAGACCATAGGATGTGATCTACTAAACAGGTAGCAGCAGGTGGGCAAGCACAGGGCTTATCACAAATACCTAGCACACATGTGCACACAGGATGAGAGCACAGAGACACACAGGCTCCACCCACATCTGCAGCAATGGTTCAAGACCAGCCCAGCCAGTGTTTGAGATTCCACTGAGTTTGTTCCACACATACAAGATTCTGAAAACCACGCCAGGAGTGCAGGAAAAGGCCACATGTACCATAAGTGACCAGCACCTCAGACTCAGGAGGAATAAAGACATTATACAGTCCCTGTGGCGAGTTGGAAGAGTCTGAACTCAGAGGGGATCAACTTAAATATCTGACCCAAAGGACACAAAGCATCCTCCCACCTCAACCCAAGGGCAGAGCTTTGGCAATACTGAAGTATAATCCCCCCTGTTACAGTGCACACACTTGGAAAGGGTTCTTTCTTCACCTCAACTAGCCCATTACTCTGGGTCAAGATAGCTGCTGTCCATTGTCTGGGACCCTGCACTGCCTTGCTCCCTCCCAGCTGGGGTTTAGACCATGGGAGACAGATTAGTTTCTTTAATTACTTGCTAAAAATAGACAGAAGGGAGTCTTTGGGTTGAGAAACTTTAGTGGCACTGTCCAGGGTGATGGTTAGAGACCAGGGTGAGCATTAGCACAGTCTACCCACCCCAGTCTACACAAACCTGATCACAGGTCCATTCTCCTATGCTGTGGAGACTAGTATAGAAGACTAACAATGGGGTCAGGAGACAAAGGCAACAAGGATGCCTATACCTTGGGTCTTGGGGAATTCCACGGGCAGATCAGATCAAGTGCCCAAGAGTTTGATCTTGAAGTAAAACAAGACTTCCTGGTCAGACTGGAGAATCCCATTTGTCAAACAACAGAAAAGGCCATGAAGGCTTTTTGGGGTTTCTAGAAGGCATAGAAAAAAAGGCCCTCCTAGGGGTGTCACCTACTATGGGTGTCATTCTTATTCTTGGCACCAGAGGTCCTGTGCTGCCCAGAGAACAAAATGGCCACAGACAGAGATTTACAGATCCACGTCTCATAAAACATGTCAAAAGCATTCTGGTTCTCTTAGGGAAGAAAGGACAGGAAACAGCACCAGTTCAAGCGCCCTAAACTCCTCTCAGGTAGGAAACATGCTTGCTACAGCCTGGTTGCCTGGAGAAGAAGGGAGAAACCAGTGATAGAAGTAGAGGCTCTGGATACCCAGCTGTGTAGACTGTGTAGAGCTGTGGCTCCCACAGAACACCTGGACAAGTTCCTGGACAGGCCTCCATTCCTTCACCCAGTAGACACCCATAGCAAAGCACAACTGCCTGAAGCCGGGGGGTTTCTTTTCCAAAGGAAAAACAGGTAACCTAACCTGGCCCATGGTGATGATCAGAGTCTTCAGAGGTCAGTTTCACTACCTACATGGCTTTCAACACAGTTCAGCTTTGGTTTTGGCTGAGCTCACAGGATCCTAGGTATCTATTTCTGCAGAGCCACAGGACCTGTGACACAAGATACTATGTACATTCAGTCTGCACTCCTAGGTTAAGTCATGTTGCCCAGCTTCTTTATGATACACTGGGTATGTTTCCCCCACATTTTCAATCATAAAACTGCAAAGCAATTCTCTTTTCTCTTTTCTTTTTTTTTTTTTGTTTTGTTTTTTAAGACAGTGTTTTACTCTGTGGCCTAAGCTACCCAGGAACTTACTATGTAATTAATTTTAGCTGGCCTTTAACATGGGTTTTCCTATTGCCACCACTCCCAAGTGCTTAGATTACAGACTTGAGCCATCATGCCTGGCTCCAAGGTGTTTTTCTGAAGAACATACTGGCAAGAGACTGCCACAAGGTTCTGGAATGTTGCAGTTCTATACAAAGATGCCAAACCTCCCAATCCCTACACTAAACTCAGATACCATCTCTGCTCCCTTAAAGATCACTGATTACAAGATCAGTCTGGTAACTTGGAATTTTCTGAGGGCATAGTGTTAAGATGTCACAGTTTGTAAAGAAGGATAGTCTTCCTGGGCCAGCAACTGACAGTATGAAGTTCAATACTTCTACTTTTCAGCAATAATAAACTGCCAGGATTATATCTCACCAAAATTTCATCCATATTGTCTAATTCTTAGAGATTGGGATCAAACTGCTTGTACCTGTCTATAGACCAGAACTGACTATAAATACTGCACTCTATTTCCTGCTAGAAGTAGCAGCACTGTGTCAGAGAACACACACCCAGCCCCTCCCTACCTTCCTTCCTCAGGCCTAAAAGATCAGAATAAGTGCAGTTTTGTTTTCATGTCAGAGATTCTGGCATGCTGAAGAGGACAGCTTTGTCAGTCACTCGGATAGTGGTTGATGAAGCCCAGAACTCTATATTCATTTGCAGATATAATGCAAAGAACATGCAAGCAAGAGAAAAGTGCAGTCTTATTGTGAAGTGACTAGAGGCTTTCTCTGGTCCAGACCTGGTTTCAAAAGGTTCAGTTGTAGAAACCTGGAACAATAGAGCAAGGGTGATGCCTGGTTCAATGTGTGGTTCTAGCACCTCCCACACTCGACTAATGTCATCTCTAATCACTCAACTCTCAAGCTGGTGACACCCTGGATGAAACCTCTGGTACTTGCTCTCTAGATCTCCAGACTCAAGACATAGAAAGTAGTAAAGAACCCACACTTAGCAGGGTTCTCCCTAATGTTTGAGTAAACCCAGCACCAAGCCAGGCAGTGGTGGCAGTACACCTTTAATCCCAGCACTTGGGAGGCAGAGACAGGTAGATCTCTGTGAGTTCAAGGCCAGCCTGATCTACAGAGTGAGTTTCAGGGCAGGCTCCAAAGTTACAGAGAGAGAGAAAAACCCTGTCCCAAACAAACAAACAAAATAAAACAAAACAAATAACCCAACACCAGATCCTGACTTGGGCCTAACAAGGATCTGGGGGTGGGGAGATCTGTGGACATTATTCTACCCTGCATGAGGTGCAGGGACAGGGGCTGAGCAAGGTGGCCTATCATTCTCCTAATAGTTGATTAATAATAGTATATTCTAGAGCAGAGGTGTCCAACTTTGAATTTGCTATATGATGCTGTCACCTACAAACGTGTTGGGCTGCATTCGTAGCTATCTTAGAACCCATGTGGTCTATGGGCCAAAGGCTAGACATGCCAGTTTTAGAACACAGATGAAGAACAACACTAAGCTACTGCCCCACGGGGACTATGTACATATATTATGATCTTAGTTTTAGATTCCACAACTCATCTGGATTGACTCTACCAGATGATTGAGATATATATATATATATATATATATATATATATATATCTCACAGGATAAATAAGAAAATAAGGTAGAAAGTGTTGGGTGACTGCTTAAAGACCCCATACTTCAGAGCCACATTATCAGGTCAAGGTCTCCAAGCACTTCTGAAAGGATGCTGTGCAGATCCTCCTGGTCCCTTCCACTGGTTTCTAGTCAGGGGTTCAGATGGGGGATTAGAGCACCACTGAGTTAAATCTTGGTCAAGAGCCTACCCTTTGGCTCAAACCCCACACCCCATAGGATGCAAATAGCTATGAAAGCACTGAATGGCAAGTTTTCAAATATATTTTAGTAAGTAGGAAAATTTGCAAAATCAATAAAGAACAAAGAGAGACTGCATACAGTCTTCCTGATCTTCAGACACAGACCTGGGACTCAGCAGAAGGTAAAGCCTGTAGTGACAGCAGAAGTCATACCAGTACCTTTATGCACATTCCCGCCCACCAGGCCATGCCCAGCCAGTCCACCTACCTCCGCCCTGGCAGGCTGCTCTCTGTCTGGCCACTACTCCCAACTTGCTGCATCTTGGATCTTTCAATGTGTTCCACATAGGTCTGGATCATCTGTCAAGAAGGGGCTCCCTGTTAGTGTCACCCACGGAACTCCCAATGCTAAAGCTTAGAAGTGCTGTGCTTAGATAAAACAAATCATTTAGGGAACAAGAATCTAAGGAACAAGAGTAGACAGCTTTCTACCAAACAATGAAGGCATTAGAAGAAGGGACCAAATATCAGTAGTAAATGCTAAGTACAGCCGCAGCAGTTAATACCCGCTCTCAGCCCAGAAGGCTGCCTACTCGCACTACCTCTGTGTGCCGCTGGTGTAGGGCATTGTACTCCTTCTTCATCTCCGATTCCCGTTCCTCCAATCTGGAAACTGGAAAACACAACCACAGCGTCAGCTGCAGTCCAGCCTTCATAGCTCAGTACATGTCCTCTGGACTGTAACCAAACCCTGGCACATGGCACAGCAGGGCAGCACTTTGTGCGGAGAAAGACTGGTTTGTTCTTGTTAAGAGTACCAGAAGTAGAATATGATTGGCTGGTCAATATAAATGGTATGTAGAATGTGCCACACGTATAAGAATGTTCAATCCCACTGTAAAGGAAACCAGGATGGGTGGAACTTAACTGCTCGGGACAGGCAGATGTTTCCAAAACATAGGCAAAACCCATAGCATGTGCCATGGGTAGGTGGAAGTGAGAACACAGGGGTGGACTACTTGCCTAGTATGATGAACAAGACCCTGGGTTCCATCCCCAATGCCTCTAAAATAAGTGAATAAATCTTTTTTTAAAAAAAAAAAAGTGAGAAGCTCATGAAAAGAGACAAAATTCAAGGGAATCATCAGAGTCATGTTAAAGCCTGACAGAACTCAGAAGTGAATGATGAAATGAACAGCAGCATTCCTTACATACATCAATGCTGAACTTGCTTTCTCTAGGTTGCTAACAAAAAGTGGTGACACCCAGAATGGTCCCCTCTGCTGTGCCATGTACCTGTCTAGAAAATACAGCTAACTAATAAGCTAATTGGCAATACTGGCCAAAAAACCTGTCGCTGGGTCTTACTAATGTAGTCAGCATGCCACTACCCTTGTGTGCCTTGCTCTGTACCTCTGTCTCTGTAGCCCACTAAGTGATGGAGATGGATTAAACAAAGCAGGATGTGTGAAACTTATGTGTCCTGGACCTTGGGTGATATGGTCCTTCACTGGCTTTCATCATTACCTCACTTTCTCCTGGCCTCCTGATGGCTTTTCTAAATTGACTTAACAAAGTATATGGTTCTACACCTCATTTTAGACCATCTGTGTTTAGCTGTGTTCTATGGCCTGGGAATGAGCTGCCAGGTGGTATCTGTGGAGGCTACTGCTGCTCATCCTGCATCTGCAAATCAATTGTAATGTGGGGACCCCTTTCTGAAGTTCAGCATAGGTAATCAGTTCAAGGCAAAGTCAACTCCATTTTTTCTTGAAGAAGTCCAAAGCATGAACACCAGCACCCAACAACAAATAGAATCTAGGGATACCAGAATCCAACACACACTAGACCATAGACACTAGTACCCAATGCACAGAAGAACCAGAGACACCTACACACCACACATGGAGTCCAAGAACACCAGCAACCAATGCATATGGGGCCTGGGGACATCAGAACCCAATACATATGACCTAGGGACACCAGCACCCAACACAGACACCAACATCCAAAGCCCATAACTTAGAATTCTCTAGTTCCTAGCACACATGTGACTTATAAATACTAGTACCCAACCTACACATGACTTATACACTGGCACAGAACACGTGACTTATATACATGACTTACAGACATTGGTGCACCATATACATGACTTACACAAGCTAATACAGCATACACTTAAATAGCTCCCCAAGATTCAAAAAGTCTACCCATGTCAGGTGTGTTCAAACACAGTCTGTCTCTGCCCCTGCCTGTCTATATGTGTTTCTGGAAGGAACCAGTATTAGACCTCAGGACCTTCCTGCAGGCCCTTGTTGGATGTCTGTGCAGCTAGTGTCTGGTTGGCAGTTTCCATTTGGTTCTCAGGTCTCATGCTAGCCTAGAGAATCACCACCTACTAATCTCAGTTGGCATTTTTTCCTTTCAAAGAAAAGAGTAAGTTTTCATATGTGAAACACTCTAATCAAAAGGAAAGTCACGGCACCTGTGTAAATAAAAGGTTTATTGTACACGACCAAAATAGGCCTTTAGATTTACTTCCTGTTTGCAAACACTAACATGTGTAGAAAGGGCCTGCCCACTGCTTACCCGCAAACTCATGCTTAGCAGGGTGCTAGTCTAGCACAGTACCTATGACACTCAGCCTTGAAATAGGTCAAACCTACACTATTAGGTCAGTTTTTCTTTCCTCCCTTCAATTGTAATTTCACAGAGAAATGAAGGTAGTTGTTTCTCAAAGTAACCAAATAAAGTGGCAAATGCATTTTAGTCACTGAAATTTTGAATTATAAAAAATATTGAAGCCAGGTATGGTGGCACACACCTTTAATACCAGCACTTGGGAGGGTGAAGTAGGCAGATCTCTGTGAGTTTAGGCCAGCCTGATCTACAGAGCAAGTTCCAAGACAGTCAGGGCTATACAGAAAATCCTGTCTCAAAAATGCCAAAAAACAAAAAAAGACTGAACAGATGGCTGTAACAGTAACCTTATAGTTTAAGTATAGTTTTTAAAAAATATTTATTGGTTATAAATAGATAATTCTTTTCTTTTTTTTGTTTGTAGTCTTTTTTTTAAATTTTTTATTGAGAAAAAGAAAAAATAAGTTTCCGCCTCCTCCCAGCCTCCCATTTCCCTCCCCTCCTCCCAACTATTCTTTTCTTTTAAGATTTATTTATTATGTATAGAGTATTCTGCCCATGTGTATGCCTGCAGGCCAGAAGAGGGCACCAGCTCTCATTACAGATGATTGTGAACAACAGTGTGGTTGCTGGGAGTTGAACTTAAGACCTCTGGAAGAGCAGTCAGTGCTCTTAAGCTCTAAGCCATCTCTCCAGCCCTTAAGTATAATTTTAAAGATTTCTTATTAGCTGGGCGGTGGTGGCACATGCCTTTAATCCTAGCACTCGGGAGGCAGAGGCAGGCAGATCTCTGTGAATTCGAGACCAGCCTGGTCTACAAGAGCTAGTTCCAGGACAGGCTCCAAAATCACAGAGAAACCCTGTCTCGAAAAACCACAAAAAAAAAAAAAAAAAAAAGAAAGAAAAAAAAAAGATTTCTTATTATCTTAAACCATGTATATGTAGGAGTGGGGTAGGAGGTTGTGCTCATTAGTGCAGGTGTCTGAGGAGGGTAGAGACAGCAGAACCTCCTGGAACTGGAGTTACAGGTCCTCTGGAAGACTAGCACATAATCTTTTTTTTTCCCCTCTGGAAGACTAGTACACAATCTTTTTTTTTAATTTTTAATTTATTTAAAAACAAAACAAAACTATCTTTTACATGTCAAATCCATTTTCCATTCCCTCCCCCCCTCCTGCTCCCTCCACCTTCCCCCAGCAGTACACAATCTTAGTAACTGATCTCCAGCCCCTTAAGTACAGCTTTAGAAATTAAAATAATTGTTTTTATAGTATTTTTTTAATTTTTAAAAGCACCTTTTCACCTTTCCTACAGATACCTTTGGCCAGAATTTGGGGAAGGGGAAAACCTAGCATGATAGGTTAATCCTGACCTACTCTGGGGCTGAGGTTTGAGGAGAGCAGCAGGCAGGCGGCTAGTACTTGCAAACAAGAAGCAAAGCTAAAGGTCTGTAGTGATTGTCACTAAAACAGTGCCTCCATCAGTACACTAATCTTTAGCTTTACAAACAGCAGTCAGGGCCCAAGGCCACAGTGCTTTGTTCCTCAGAACCACAGGAGGACCTAGGGTATGAGTGTTTTATTATTTATAGTCAGTCAGATTACACAGTAAAACAAGTGTGTTATGCCACAAAGACTTTATTTCCACAAAGGATTGAGGCTGATTATGGAAATACAGTTCTGTGATGAGACAGAGCAAACAGCTGAAAATCAGGGTGAAATGAAAATAAAGCCAACCACTCACCTTAGGCACCCAACCCCCTTTAATTAACAATTTGTGTATTCCTCCCAAGATCAGTCTTAGAATACACATGCAGTCCCAACTAATGGCTCCTGCTAGCTACTTACTCTGATCTGCATAGTTTTTGGCCTTTAGCTCCAGCTGACGTGTCTGAAACTCATAATGTTCTACCTGGATCTGTAGTTCTTTCTTCTCCTGCTCCAAGGCATCTTCAAATTCAATGAATTTCTATGCATGGGAAAGACAAAAGATCAGAAGGTGACAGCCGCCCTTTACATAAAAGCCCAAGTTCAAGAACCCAAGAATCTAGAGACAGTTTGAGGTCACAGCTGACCAGTGGTGGGTTTCCACTAGATTCTGTTCCCTACCCCTTCATGCTGCCTTTCCCCATCTGTAGAGACATCACAGATAAACCCTCCAAGAATGAGTGACTAGAACCTGTGGTCAGCTAATACCATTCCTGATGACTTCTGCCTTCAAAGACCTTTCCAAGGCCGCATGAGCAGTAGTAAGGCCCATGATCAGCTAATGTTCAGAAATTTTCAGTAAGTTCTGAACACTGGGCTCTACAAATGATGTGGCCCATCTTGGTCTGCAATCAAATAGGTTTTTTGTTTTGGTTTTTCGAGACAGGGTTTCTCTGTCTAATAGCCCTAGCTGTCCTGAAACTCACTTTGCAGACCAGGCTAGCCTCGAACTCACAGAGATAGATCCTGCCTCTGCCTCCTGAATGCTAGGATTAAAGGCGTGTGCCATAACTACCTGGCAAATAGATTATTCTTGTCAGTATTAAACTTGTCAATGGCTGGGTGGTGGTGGCACACACCTTTAATCCCAGCACTCAAAAGGTAGAGACAGGTGAATCTCTATGAGTGAAGCCAGCCTGGTCCAAGATCGCCAGGGCTACACAGAGAAACCCTCTCTTGAATGAAAAACCAACCAATCAAACAAAAGAAAACCCCAACAACAACAAACAAACAAACAAACAAAACCCAAAACTTCTAAATGAAAAAAGGCAACTTTTCATCTCCATTTCATTATTTATTTATCTCTTACTTTTATGAGTATATGTGTGTGGTTGTGTGAGCTATGTGTCCCACATGCAGGCAGGCTCCTAAGGAATCAGATTCCCCAGAACTGAAGTAACAGACAGTTGTGAGCTGACATATGGGTGCTGGGAATAGAACATGGTTCCTCTGGAAGAGTAGCCAGTGTTTTTAACCTCTGAGCCATCTCTCCAACCCCATTAATCACTCCTTAGCTGAAGATCAATCATTTCTGAACTACAAACAAAAAGCACCACTCACTCAGTCTTTGAAAAAGCTTATCCTGTTGAGTTTCTGAGTCTAATGACCATCATCAACCAAGTGAAAAGAAACCACTCTGCAAAACAAAAGATACCTAATCAGGCTCAAAGAGAAGTCACCACCCATGGCGCCGGACCCTTGGTATGGACATTGCCTCTGCAGAGGGCCAAGCTAAGGAACTAACACTGATGGATACCTGGTGTGACTCCTACAGCAGTAAGGACTGAAGAAGGAAGTGTGTGTAAGCACTGAACAGAAAACTGTAATGTGTCCAAGAAAGCCATCTGTAGGAAGGATAACTACCTGGTGGGCTTTAAAGGCATAAAAAGCTTCTCAAAGGACATGAATATAAAGCGAACCTTGAATTTCAGGTGTTGGTTTCTGGCTGGGGTCAAGTTTCATGTAATAACCCACCTACACCCACTGCACAACTGTCTGATCAGTCTGATGTCTCTCCTGCTGCAACCTGACCAAGGTCTCTGCGCTGGAGCACTGAGCTCCAGGGAAGGATGGGAGGATGACTCATCCTGTATAGCCAGTGAGAGTGGAAAACCCCAGAGGAGGGGAGGAAGGAGCTGGGAGGGAAGAGACTGCTTGCAGCCAGAAGGAAGTCAACTCAGGATTAAGGACATTGCATTCAAGTAAGCTGAAGGAAGAATACCCCATAGCCAACAAAATGCAAGTGTCTTTGTGTGTATATGCAGATATACAAACAATGAAAACAAGTGACTGTGAATCAACTGGATACAATTACCATATGAAGAACACACATATTAGTCAGTCTTTTTTAAAAAACAATTCCATGAAATGGGATTGCTCTCTCATTTTACATGTAAAATATAAAAGGAAGATGTCAACTTTATATCCCTGTCAAACATAAAAGGAGACAACAAGAGTTGTCAGGACTCTCAGGATGTAGAGTGCTGGCTACACAATCTCTTACAATGGGACTCATGTGGCTGTTACAGATTTCCTAAACCGCGCATGCTTTACTGGGAAGGTCAACCTCTTCTCTCTTACAGTTCTGCAGCCCAGGGACACCCATAGGAACTCATCTAGCATGTTAGAAGTGAATGCCAAGAGGAATCAAAAATCAGGTTCTTTTGCATAGGGGGAAAGAAAGGGAATAAATTTCCAAAAGAAAAAATGTGCCTTATTGATCTTTTGTCTTTAAGGAAGCACACAGACAAGGAGCTGTGGGCAACATGGGCTGCTGTGCCTGTGTCATCACCTCTAGCTGCTTTCTGGCACCAATAGTGGCACCTATATCCAACAAGTATTATTCAGGGACAGTTGGGGTAGCAAACACTAACATTAGATGTTCCTTCAGGGCCAACTTTACATCTTCCACACTGTAGAACTACTTAGGTCTGAAACACAAGAGTGCAGGTCCTGAGCTGGGAGGCTGGAGTTACAGACACTATCTTCAAGAACTACTAGGCAACATGAGGAAGAACAGTGATATTTCTACATTCAATATTAGATGTGGGCTAATAATATGGCCATAATTCAGGAATGCAGCAAGTGTTTCTCATATTCATGCTAAAAATCCATCTGAAACACCACAATTGATTTAATACACTCTGATTTTTAGGACAAGTAATCAAAGAAAAGAGTAAAATCACAGCACAGAAGTGGTGGCAAATGCCTTTAATCCTAGCACTTGGGAGGCAGAGATAGGTGGATCTTTGAGTTCAAGGCCAGCCTGGTCTACAGAGTTCCAGGACAGATAGGGACACAGAGAGAATCCCTGTCTCAAAAAACTGGAAGGGAAAAGAAAAAAGAATATAATCACACCTGGTGCTTGAGGCCAGCCTCAGCAAAACAGTAACCTTGACACTAGCCTAGACTACACGAGCTCTTGTCTCAGAGTTAGAGAGGCGGCTTGGTGGTTAAAACACTGGCTGCTCTTGCAGAGTATCTGGGGTTCAATTCCCAGCACCACCATGGCTTACAACTATCTGTAACTCTAGTCCCAGGGGATTCTTTGCCCTTTTTGAGCCTCCCTGGTTACCAGGCACACTGGCAGTTACACAGACACATATGCAGATGAAACACTAAGACACATAAAATGAATAAATTTAACAAACCAACCAACCCACCACAATAACAAGAAAAAAATGGGTGTGGCAGCTCATGCCTATAATCTAGGCCTTTGGATGTCAAAGACAGTAAGTACTACTGCAAATTCAAAGTCAGACTAGGCTAGAGAATAAGACTCTGTCTCAAAAAACTGGGAAAGAGGGCTAAGTGTGGTGTCTCATGCCTCTAAACTCAATACTTTAGAGGCAAAGAAAAGAAGATCTCTGTAAGTTCCAGGCAAACCTGGCCTACCTAATGAGTTCTAGGTCAACCAGTGCATACTAACCCAGCCAGGGCCGAACAGTGAAACCCTGTCTCCAAAAACCAACCAAATTAATAACAACAAAAGAGAAAGAAGGCGGGGAGGAGAAAGGGTGATACAAGAGAGGTGAGAAAAATGAAGACAAAATGAAAATCTCAGTGTCTTTATTTCATGAAAATCTTCCTCGAGGTCAGGTTTGGGGGGAGTGCCTTTTTCAGGAAATTTTTATCTTCTGTGGCCCTTTCCCCAGGTTGGGCTGGTTTGTTTCTTCCAAATTTTTTTTACTTATTTATTTTTTATTTTTTTCAAAACAGGATTTCTCTGTGTAACAGCCCTGGCTGTCCTAGAACTAGCTCTGTAGACCAAGCTGGCCTTGAACTCACTGAGATTTGCCTGCCTCAGCCTCCCAAGTATTGGGATTAAAGGCGAGCACTACCGCCTGGCAAAAACCTTTATATTTAAATTATTTATTTATTTATTTATTATGTATACAGTATTCTGTCTGTGTATATGCTGCAGGCCAGAAGAGGGCATCAGACCCCATTACAGATGGTTGTGAACCACCATGTGGTTGCTGGGAATTGAACTCAGGACCTTTGGAAGAGGAGGCAATGCTCTTAACCTCTGAGCCATCTCTCCAGCCCAACCTTTATGTTTAGTATAGTAATGTCATACATGCACTTATGCAGCAGGTGCCCACAGAGTGCAGAAAAGGGCATCAGAGCTCCTGGAGCTAGAGTTATTGGTGGTTGTAAGCCATCCAATATGGGTTCTGGGAATTGAACTTGGGTCCTAAGCAAAACCAGTAGATGGTTTTAACTACTGAGCCATCCCTACAGTCTCTTCAGCTGGTTTAGGCTTTCTAATCTGGCCCAGCTTTACCCACGATCTGATGTGATGACTACTAAGGAGATGTTGTAATGCCTCAGTTGACACAGGTCCTTGCTTTCAAGAAACAAGCATTTTAATGCCAGGGAGAAGGCTCCATAGGTAAAACCTCTAGGCACAAAAGCCTGACAACCTGAGTTTGATCCCTGTAATCCACAAATAAGCTGGATATTGTGGTATGCATCTTAGGTGAGATGTGAGACAAAGACAGGAAAATCTGCCTTGTATATGGAGGACAGCAGCAGAAATAAGAGGGACCCTTCCTTAACAAGGTAGACAGAAAGAAGCATCTCTGGAAAAATTGTCTCTGATCTCCACATGCATGCTTGTGGCATGCACTTGTTTACTTCCATACAAGCCTCATTCATACACAGACACACACACACACTTTAAAAAACGGCAACATTCTAAATTTGAGCCAGACAGAGTTATGGCTAAGTGTGTGTCTGCAGGAATGTGTGCTTTTCTGGGTGTTTGCTGAAAGAGAGAAGGGTCAGAAAAAGGCTAGGTAAGACAAAATGGAGCAGGAGCCCAAATGAAGCAGAAACTGGAAGGAGTGACACTTAAGATCCATAGGAGACCTAAGAGGTTTATTGAGAAAGGGTGCTCCAAACATTTTCATAACAGGCGCAGCTTTGAATCTGTCCCTACTGATTTCAGGAATCTGTCAAAGAAACATCACCAAATGT